CCCTTCGCCGCGGCGCCGTACGCCGCCTCGGCCGAGCGAGCCGCCGCGGGTGCACAGTGGACGGCAGCAGATCAGTCAGCCGGTCAGTCGACCATGATTGACCAGTCGGCGGCCGCACAAATGGCAGACTCCAAGGCCCCGGCTGCCTCTAATGCTGCCGCCACAAGGATCCGGAACCTGTTTGCCAAACCGACGCTGGCGACCCACGCCAAACCCGAGGAGGAAACCGCGGGTAACCGGCGCGTGTGGCGCGCAGATAATCCCTTCAACCGAGTGCTCTCTTGGTGCGGCTGCGTCACTCTGGACGAAGCCTAAGCCAACCGTGCGCGAGCAAGGGCGGCCCCGAAAGGGTGAGTCCGAAAAGGCGACCCCGAAAGGGTGAGTCCGAAAAGGCGACCCCGAAAGGGTGAGTCCGAAAAGGCGACCCCGAAAGGGTGAGTCCGAAAAGGCGACCCCGAAAGGGTGACGCCGAAACGAATGAAGCGTAGGGGTGCTTCCTCATTTTTGACCACACAACGAACCAACCAAACAGCCCCACAAACAACCCCAAACATGGACGGGTGGGCGTGCAGCGTGCGCTGTACGTAATCCAAGACAGAAGTTGGCAGGGCAGAAGTCGGTCGGGCAGGAGTCGGTAGGGCAGAAGTCGGTCAGTAGGCCTAAACTTGTTACATCTGCTGCCGCAGACGATTGCAGGCCAGTCAGTGGGCCGTCGCGACGCGTGGAGGAGGCGAACAAGAGGTCCCTGGACTGATATATAGGGGGTCCAAACTCTTCGTCGGAAAATGTGTGGGCTACGACCATGGCCAAGAAACACGGACCGCAACCTGCCCAGCCATCTCTGGCGGCAGCGTTGGACATGAAGACGCCGGAACAGTATGCCGCGCGCCTCCTGTTACCTGCGCCGAACACTAAGGTGGTGGCACTCGGAGTGAATGCAGCGCCACATGGCAGCTTCCTCGTTTCGCTCGACGGTCTTTCAACTAAGTACGAGCACAAAGTCATCCAGCGCCCGGCGGCCATCGAAACCATCGAGATAGACCGACCCGCCGTGGACCCGAAAGCCAAGCTCGAGAAACCAACGTACGTCCAACTCCCACCTGGACGACAGGTCGTCCAACCCATCATACAGCCAGTCCTGCAGCCAGTGGCAATGCAACAGCCAGTGGCAATGCAACAGCCAGTGGCAATGCAACAGCCAGTGGCAATACAACAGCCAGTGGCAATGCAACAGCCAGTGGCAATGCAACAGCCAGTGGCAATGCAGCGGGCAGTGCCGCAGCCAAGGGAGCAGCCAAGGGAGTTGGGAAGCGACCGTGTGGGGATGGTCCCTCTAAGCACGGTGGGGACGGAGTCTTCGGCCGTGGTCGTCGGGAGCTGGGATCGCAAGACGTCGATGCGCAGCGGAGCCAAGGCTTTGTTGCGTCGCGCGAGCTCTTCGTTCCGACGCCGGAGAACGCCGCCGGAGGCGGAGTGGGGTGAGGACGTTTGGATCGCCAACAGCCGCCCCATGAGCATCGACGCCGAGCTCCAGCGGGAGCTCGGCGGAGCACCAGCGCCCGGAGGCTACTAGCCGTCTCGGCCGCGCCGTATCTTGAATGCCATTGACCAACATTTCCCGAGCGCATCACCCCGCATATGTCCAGCACACTATTGAGCATACATATTCGGCACACACGTTCGACAGCGGTGCGATACGTCTTATCTTAACCCGTAGTCTGGCCAGTAACCCTAGTCTGGCCAGTAACCCCGTTTGGGGAGCTTCACTGTGGAGTGTTTACGTAGACGGCGAGGGGGGGCGGGTGTAATTTAAACAGAGCGGCAAATGGATGGCGACATCCAGGCAAAGCTGGTTTACCTCTTAGATAGTCTCAAGTCATTGGAGCCCACACAGACAGTAGTCACTGCGGGCAAGGAAATTAGCCTGCCTGAAGGCACCCTACTGTAAGCCGCACGTGTGTGTGCCCCGTTTGAACCGACACACGACATCTAATGTATGCATCTAATGTGTGCATCTAATGTATGCATCTAATGTGTGCATCTAATGTGCTTGATAGATGCACATGCGTGTGTATGACGTTGTGACATATTGTCTGTGTGACGCGTATGTTGCAGAGGTCACGGCATTGTGGCGGGGACCGCGGTGGAGGAAGATAACGAGATTGTGACGCGTTACTACGCGTCGCGTACGGGTTATTTGGTGAGTGTGAATTCGTTAACGTATGTGGCGCCTCTGCATACCCGTTACGTGCCGGAGACGGGGGACGTGGTGATCGGGCGTGTGGTGGAAGTGGCTCAGGGTCGTTGGTCGGTTGACATCAACGCGTCGCACTTGGGCAAGTTGATGTTGACGTCGGTGTCGCTGCCTTCTGGGGAGCAGCGGCGTAAGACGGATGCGGAAGTGGTAGACATGCGTAGATTCTTTGCGGAAGACGACATCGTATTCACGGAGGTGCAGAAAGTGAATGGCGACCAGACCTGCAATCTGCACTCTCGTAACGCCCGTTACGGCAAGTTGTTCAACGGCTGCATGGTCGCGGTACCAGCACCTCTGGTCAAACGCCTTGCACAACACTCTTGCGTTCTCCTTGGCGACGTCTATGTCGTTCTTGGCAACAACGGCTTCGTATGGATAGGTACCAAACCCGAGACCACTTCCACTGATACACTCAACTTCGTCGAGTCAAAGGAAAATAGATATCTATCTGTTACACCAGATGTGCGCCGGAAAATCGCACGCGTGCGCAACGCCATCCTTCTACTCGCAGACCTCAACCTACTCATCTCCCCAGACAGCATCACCACCGTCTTCCATGCAACCAACGCCCTCGCCATTCCATCTAGCGAAATACTGCATCAAACCAACCGTCTCAAAATACTCAAACAGTGTTGCCAAATCTGCACCGATTAATTCCCCCACCGAGAATGCACCGACGAATAAATTGGACGACGACGACGACACGGATAAACGCAAGACGGATAAACGAACGCAAGCCTGTTTGTTTCACATAATTCAACCTCATGTTAACCCCCCTTACTACTTTAACCTTTGCCGCTTGAACCCCCTACCCAGTTAGTTAGCATCGACGTGATAGTAGATGACCAATTGGCATCATCCAGCACCTGTCCATTGTGTTAAAAATTCATCATTACTGTTGTTGCCCAACCGCACGCACTTGGCGAGGGAGGGAGGGAGGGGGAAGGGGTTACCATTTCCAGACACCGTAGCCACCGGCGGGTCCCTGTCGGGCGAGCGGGTCGTCTTTGCAGTTGTTATGGAGTGCATTTATCGTAAGGGTGTGGGGGAATGGTTTATTTTGGATCGCGATGAGAGTATCGCTAATCAATCGCCTTGTAGCATCGTCCTTGCGGTTCATCATGGATACGGTGGGTATGGTGGCCTGTGCTGTGGGGTCTGCCCTGAGTAAGAGTTCCTCGGACTGATCGACGATCTTGCTGTCTTGTCGTACTTTGTCGATCCAATGTGCGAGTCGTCCGAAGGACACGAAATTGTAGGGGCGGCTGGGTAACTTCCACTCGACCGAACCTGAGCTTGTAATGTGCTCCTCTGGCTCCGCTAGACTGAACAAACTCGACGCCGGGTCTGCTACCATTCGCGCGAACATACCCGGACACCAATAGTAGCCCTGAGGGTCATCCGCCGGGACTACGTTCGGTATGATCATTGTTCCGCCTAACGCGAGGGACGGAGCCAGGACTGAGGGGACGCCCGTGGCTGTCGGGGAGACGCCCGTTGCGGGGGCGCCGGCTTTTTCATACACTTCAGCAGGATAAACTTCAAGATAGACGTCGTCGGCGTCGGCGGGTTTGGCGTCGTTGCCTGCGCGTTGGTATGAAACAACGCCTCCATTCTTAACGGTCAGGTTGGGGTATTCCACCAGACGGTCTTCGCAGAAGAGAGGAAGGACTTGCTGGATGAGTTCTTGGTTCTTAGTGCGTTCCTCTCTAGTCTTGTACTGTATGACTTTCTCCTTCCGGACCCGTTCGACTTCCCGTTCGGCTTGCCGACTTGACTTATCGTCCCGACTAGACTTATCGTCGGCGTCCAAGTGCTGCCGGAACATGCCTGGTCGACGGAAGTGTTCGACGTTCATGCGACCTAATGCGTTGGGCAAGTCGAACATGTCGTCGGCGTTCACCGCTTCGTCGCGCCAAATAGTGTCGGTGATGAGTGCGTAATGGAATGCTCGGGCAAAGTGCCGTACACGAGCCGCGGTTTCAGAGCGCTGCTGCTCTTGATCGAGGACTTCGCCGCTCTGCCCTGAGGAGGCTGCTAGCGTCACCGGGTATGTGAGCACTAGTTTGTGCAGCAAGTCAGAATACCCACGCAACGCGGCCTCTGTAGCACCAATTGCCGGGCGAGAGAGGGCCAACGACTCGGCCAAATTACATCCAGCATCCGCATACCCGGACACCTCCCCCAACACCGCGTCTATCAACAACCCATCGAACACCTTGCGAGTCGACAACTCCTCACGCACCTCACAATCCCCCTTCCCTCCACTCAATGTACCCAACTTCACCAACATCGCACCCGATGACTTCACCACCAACCCCGCCGCCTCCAGCGCCGCGTCCGGCGCCCCTGGACCCGACGGGTCAAGGGCGTCCGCAGCTATTACAAATAACGACAGCAAACCCGGCCCCGTAGACCTCTCCGAAGATTTCTCTGCGATACAAATACTCACCATTTTTTTAGACCATCACAACACCACACGAAAAGCAGGCACACACAAACCCGCTGATACTCAGCCAGCCAGTCGGACCTCTTTAGACTGGAACACTTAGAAACAGCCAGCACGCCCAGAGTCGTGACGGACTGTACATCTTGGCGCACTATATATTCTTGATGGAACCCAAAGTTCGTAAGACGTGGCGTCCATCCCATCCGCGAATTACGGCCACCGGGCTGCCGCTTCCCTGTCGTCCGCCCGTCGGTCCGTCGAATCTTGACCGGATCAAATACCCCCACGCCCAAACCACACCACGAGGTAGTTTTACCAGTCGTTCTGCAGCACCTGGGATAGAGACCGGCGGCTCGAGGTGGTTCAGGTCACGGACAGACGTGCTCTGATTCAGATTTGACTACATGTTCAAAGTTAAGCTAATGGCTAAAATTCGAAGTCTGCTCGTAAGCGTCTTCTTCCATGGCTGCGACAGACTCACGGTTTCCGTCTTGGGCCGCATCCACCGCGCCTTCCTGTGTCTAGTTCGGGCGGGGGACTGTCTCGCAGTCACCACCTTGTAAGTTCGGACATGCCGTGGTACTTGCCGGCCTGATTCGTAATGATTACCGCTTCTGTCGCCAACGACCCGAAGTGGGGCTTCGTAACCATAGGCAGTGAGTGCAGAGAGCGAGTCTTCCACAATGTCGTTGTTTGAATGAGACATCGCCGGATGCTCCTCAATGATTGTCGACGCTGACTGCACTTTGGAGTCGAGCTCCTGCCCGTCCAGCTCACTCACTGGCTCATAATATATCTATTCCGAATTGGCCCAAAACAAAGAAATGCCAAAATCGAAGTCTGTGGCTTACTTGAAATCCACTTGAAAGATAGCGTCATGTCCTGGTGGATCCACAATCGAACAGGCGCATCCAGACACTCATACTAACCCACAGCCATACAGGGCCATGCCCAGCAGAACTGCTGGAGATCTCCACTGCACAAACCATCGCCAAACTTTGGTTTACTATCCTGTTTTGTAACATCCCTGAGGCCGGCGCATCGAGGTGGTTCAGATCAATGATAGACGTGTTAAGCTACGGGCTAAAATTTGAAGTCTACTCGTAAGCGTCTTCTTCCATGGCAACAATGGACTCACGGTCTCCGCCTTGGGCCGCGTCCGCAGCACCTTCCTCTTCGGTGACGTCGAGTTCCGGTGGGGCACTGTCTCGCAGTTTGTACCAAGCTGCGCCAGCAAGCAACGCGGCCGCCCCGGCTGCCGCGCTGCCGATGGCGATTGCCTTGTTGTGGTCCGGAGCTGGTGCCGGTACAGCAGTGGTGGTTATGATGGGTACAATTGAAGTGGTGGTGGCGCTGGTTCCGGTGGTGCCGCTGGTTCCGGTGGTGCCGCTGGTTCCGGAGGTGCCGCTGGTTCCGGTTCCGGAGGTGGGTGTGCTGGTGGTCGTGGTCTTGATGATGCAGTTGATGGTGTTGACACTCTCGAGAATGGTCTGGGCCACGCCGTCGGCGTCCATGGTGATAGGGAAGACCCCGAACTCACCTTGGTCCTCCTTGAGGTTTAGCGATTTGGACCAGAACTTCTTCCACCAGTTTACCGCCTTTTCCACAACGAGGGTAATGGGTACCACCTTGTAAGTTTGCACAGAGTGGGAGAGCTGCTCAGCAGTCGGATACCACACATGGGTTGAGCAGTTGACTTCGTCCTCGACCGTGGTGTTCGGCGTATCTCCCTCGAACTGAGTGTCGCACGAGCCGCTACCCGGTGAACAAGCGGGCATGTCGTGGTACTTGCCCGGCTCGTCCGTAATGATTACAAAGATATTTACAGCTTCTGTCGACAACATCCCAAACTCGTGCTTCGCAACCACAGGCAGTCCAGACAGCGCGTCTTCCAGAAGGTCGTTGTAAGAATCGGAAGGCGCCGGCAGCTCCTTGATGATTGTCGAGGCTGACTGCACCTTGGAGTCAAAATCATTCCCATCGAAGTTGCACACTGGCAGGTAACATGTGTCCACAGACCGATCCCAGAACAGGGAAATGCCAAAGTCGAAGTCTTCGATGTTATCGTGCAAGCTCGTCAAGATCCCGCTAATGTACTCCTGTGGCTTACTTGAAATAAACATGAAAGATGACGTCATGTCCTGGTGGATCCACAATCGGACAGGCACATCCAGACACTCGTACTCCTTCCCCCACACGGCAAACAGTGTAGACAAAAATATCCAATGCATTCCCCCCCCCCTCACCACCCGTCGTTAAACATGCATTTGGAGGCGAGGCGGCAGGCTGGTGTCTTGTGACCATAGGCGGCGCCAGCATTGTCGTTTGTGGGTAGAGACGACGAGGGACGCGCGGCCATGACCGCCGCGGCTGCCTGCATCTTGGCTTCAAACTCGTGCCCATCCAAGTCGCTCTATGACACGTAATTCATGTCCCGACAGGAGGGAAATGCCGAAGTCGAAGTCGTCAATCATTCATGCAGATTTGTCAATACACCCTGAATGTATTTCCGAGGCTCCTAAAAAATTCAGTTGAAAGGAACCGTCACGTCTTGACGGACGCACGGGCATCTAAGCATTCGTACTCCTGCCTTAGCACGGCAGTGCCCACCAGAGTCACTAAGCTCTCCGCAGCATCCCCCTCCCCTAACAAAGAGTGCATCCTTCGTGACATACGCCCTTTGCAGTGGCGGTCCCTACCCGCCATCCTGGTTCTCGGCAGTGGGCTGTAGTTTATACCAAGCTGCGGCCGCCACTATTGCCGCCGCCCCGGCAGCTGAGCCACCGATGACCATTGCTTTCTTGTCGTCTGTTTCTTGGTCCGAGCCCGGCAAAGGTGTGGGTATGTGTCTAAGAGTAGTCACGGTTGTGGGAGTTGTGGTGATAGTAGTCTTGAGGATGCAGCTGACGCTCTCGAGAATGGTTCGGCATCCATGGTGATTGGGAAGACCCCAAACTGGCCATGATCTGCCTTGAGCTTTAGCTCTTTGGACCACACGTCGGTCTACCACCCTACGTACTTCTTTACGACGAGAGTAATGGGGACGACATTGTAGGCTTGCAGAGAGTGTGCCGGCTGGTCCACAGTTGGGTACCAGACATCCTTTTTGCATGTCACTTGGTCCTCGACCGTGGTGTTTAGTGTGGAGCCGTCTGCTTCGAACGTTGCGTCGCATTTCTTTAGTCCGTCTTCGCAGCCGTCCATGCCGTGGTACTTGCCCCAAGATATTCACGGCTCCTTTCGTCGGTCTCGAAGTCCTTCCCGTCCATTTCGTTCACTACGGCTCACGCAATTAAGCTGACAGGGCGTCGTGGGGTGGTCGACAGCTGCCTGTTTTGGTTTTGAGGCGCTCGTCATAAACTGGAGATAAAAAGCTGGTGAAAGTCCTGGCTGAAAGGGGGGTCGGATGAACAGCAAAGTGGCGGTCACGCAATTGCGTAACGTGCTGAGACTTCGGCCCGCTTCCGGTCTGGTCCTGCTGGGTTAGTTCATGGCCGTTAGTTTTCTTCTTGGTCGTCTTCTTGGTCGTCATCTTTCCACTCGTAGCGCGCGTTGATACTGATAGTTTGAGGAAAGGGTTTGGCCATTGCCTGCGTGAGTGCTCCAGTAATCCACTCCCGCCTGCGTTTCGAGAACACATTGGGGGACAGCGGCGGTGTCGACTCTGGTGGTGTCGACATTGGTGAGTCAACTGGAGTTGGAGCAAAGCACGGCATAGCGTCGCTGCGAGCCATATCAGGGTGGTGGGTCCCCGAGAGCCTTACCGCTCGCGCGGATTGAACCCAGCTCGCTGCTTGGTCAAAGGGGAGGAATTCCGACATTTTTTGGCGCGGCTCTTCGGTGGCAATGACCATGGAGGAGAGGTCGCCGTTACTAGACCTGTGGAACAAGCGCTTACTCATGGGGGTATCGGAAGGACCGGCATACAGGGCGGAACAGCAGGAGATGCCTGAGCCATTCCGCTTATACAACTCCACAGGATACACAACCAAGTAAATGTCATCGGCATCGTGAGGCTCCGGACTGCGACCTGCAGTGGGGCGCTCTCCGATCCACCTACCGTCCACGACAGTCGCCTCCGGATACTCCACCACGAAATCTTCGCTAAAGAGAGGCAAATATAACACTGGCTGCTCAGACCTTCGTCTCCGTGGCTGGACCGACGAGTGTGTCGGATAGACTGCCGAACGTCTCGGAGCGAACAAACGAGGCCGCACGGTCCAACGCGGGTCGTCTCGAACCGAACGCCGATCCGAACCTTCTCTCCTCGCCAGCTGCGCTTCGCCTCGCCACATCTTATCGCACACGAGAGTGTAATGATAAACTCGCATAAAGTGCTCAACGTTCTCCGCCACCTCATCCCACTGGTCCCACCGACCGGCACGACCATCTGGGTAGGTCACCTTCGGCGCGCCCACCAGGTCCGAGTAGTTCTTCGGTGCCGTCATATCGGCCGTCTCAAGCTTTGTCGACACACCGTCCTTGCGCGTCACACTGCTCTCCAGCCAGACACTGTCTGCCAAGGACTCTAACACGCCCCGAAGACCTCCCGTCAGACCGGTCACTTCCCCGAACAAGGCGTCCACCAACAGGCCGCGGAATATTCCGAACGCCACACCCTCACACCCGTCGGCACGATAAGACGATAAGCAACTGGAAGACGGCGAGCTACTGGAAGAAGTTGAGCTAACGCGAAATGGCGAGCTAAGCTCAAGAGTGAAACCAGGACGCGGTTTGCCAGAGAAAGACGGGACGTCGATCAGTGACGCTCGGTTAACAGTCCCCAGTTTGACCAGCATGGGACCCAGCATTTTGGGCATTACATCCTTGCCGCTGCAGAGGAGACCGTGCCACCACTGACACATCCTGAGAGAAGGGTCAGGCAAGTTGGAGTGAATCACGAAAAGAGACAACAGAGCCACCTGATAATAACCTGACCCACATCCTGTAATGGTCTTCATTCCGTACGGATATTTCCCCGGAAATTCACTTTAACCGGCGCCGTGTCGCCGGCAGTCACGTCCCCAGATATTGTGGCAGTGGTGGCGCCGGATTCCCGCCCACATTCACAAACTCCCAGTTAAGCAGAGGCAGACGTCTTGAGAAGTGTGGTGGTTTGTGTTGTAAAAAGTCTGGCGCTAGATTGCGCCTGACACCACGTTCGAGCGGGCGTAGACAACGTCACGAGGTAGAGACAACGTTTGGCGGTTTAGAGCATCTTCTGGACGAGCTGGTTGATGTACTGTTCGCGGTTACCCCAGTCTCCCTTGCGGAACTCGTTGAAGCCGTGTCTCTTAGCGATGAAGCCGCCACGAGGAGCGTGAAGTTTGAAAGTCCAGAGAGCGCGATTGACTTGGCGGAAGTGGGGTCCGCAGGTAAGGATTTCGTGGACGATGTCCTCGACGCCGCGTACTCCGTATTCCCCGAGGAGATCAGCGACCTGCATGTTGTCCGTTATCCGCACACGCGAGCGAGCGCCCATAGGACCGGTCCTCAGGTAGCCGCGCTTGTAGATGAGCTTGCGCACAGTCTCGAGGTCCGGGTATCCGAAGGTGCAGAAGGGCTCGATGTGTTTAAGCATGTTCAAGGATGCCTTATTGACCTTGACGAACGCAGCATTGTGCAGCTGCAGCAGCCGGAACAACTGGAAGATCTTGCGCACACGGGGGCACAACTTGTTTACACTAAAACACAACACGTGTGCTTCTGCGACTTATCCCTTCGGACGCTCCCAACAAACCGTCCAGACGTCCCGTATTTACTGTGCCGCGGATTAATTGCGCCCCCAACGGGGGGTGCACGCGCGTGTGCAGACGTCTGGACAACCAACACAAACAGTTGGAATTTGCTGGGCATCGGTGGCGCAATCAATACTTACCCTCGGATGCGGACAACGAGAAGAACCTTGGGGTCAGCCGGCTTGTAAAAACCACCGTTGGCCTTGGCCTCCGCCTTAAGGCGAGACTCCTCCTCCTGCTGGGCAGCGTACTCAGCCTCATACTTGGCAAGCTTGCCCTGCATTTCGACGAGGAGCTCCTCCTGGGCCTTGGCCTTGGCGGCCACGGCTGCCTGCTTCTCCGCAAAGTGCTTCTGGTCGCGAGCCAGCTTCTTCTTCTGAAGCTCGTTCTGGGGAGCAAATTCGAGGTCCTTTTGCGACACACTGTAGAGATCCGCCATGGTCGTTGCTAGCCTCCAAAAAAATTACACAAAAAAGTCTCGGAGCCCTAACGGCTGGCTGTACAACCGGCACGAATTCTGTAACCGCCCGTGTCGCCTACTTTGCGACCGTCCCCGTTTCGGCCGGTCGAATTATCCAACTATAATAAAGAATACCCGTCGGGCCTGGAACTGGAAGCCCTTTTGCGACGCCGCTGGGCACAGCCTGCGAAGCGTGTGCAACATCCCGATGTCCGGAGGGTTCATCTCTGGGAGCCCTCCAGACCCTCCTGAACAGCCGGAAGTTCTACAACGGTCGACTGCCGTAACAGTGTGGCCGCCTCATCGCAGAGTACAAGAACATGTCTGACGCCGAAGCGTCTTTTGAATTCCGTAACTGCCATTTCAAGTTGCTTGGATGCGGCTTCGGGGATATAGGTGTTAACGGCGATTCTACCTTGTACCGAGGTGTCCGGCTATGCACCTGATACTGAGACCACTCCTCTGGCGAAAGACCAAAAATCCGCTCATCCGTGTTCGCTTCCGCCAGTATATCCGCAAGACACATCCTCAGATGCGCAACAATCAAGTCAGCTGTTGCATCGGTCATTGTCGTGTTCAAGATTGACAGCAGCGCTCTGCAATTGTTGTCAGGCTCCGTCCCATGCTGATGCACAAGCACGGGAATTGCCTCCGCGAACGAACGGGCCCCTGCTCGTCAAGTTCTACACCGCGGTGATTCGTGCAGATTGTACCGCGCGAATGATACGGACAGTCCGACGGCGGCTTCATCCCGATGTCCGGAGGGCTCACAGAGATAAACGGAGCAGGCATGTACGGACTGTCCATATCATTCACACGGTAGAATCTCCACGAACCATCGCGGAGCGGAGTTCTGCACTTTGGACTGTGTACTCGCAAGACGCGCCGTGATACCTTGAGTGGTCACTCTGGCGACGTGCAGAGACGGCTGCTTCTCGTTCTCTTCATTTCGCCAGTAAATTAGCCAAAGGTGTTCGTACTCACTCAACGTGTGGTACACACGCACACGTTGAGTGAGTACGAACACCTGGATATATTGGAACTTAATATTGCCGGCGGCACAGGAGATGAGTAGTGGGTAGCTTTTCGTGCTCGGGCGTGCTCGGGAATACAGATCGTTCAGAGGTAGTGACGACGAACTGACAGTGGTTATTATGTCCGGAGGGCTTAGAGGGACAAATGGGTGGAGCTACTACCGCGGCGGGATATAAGCACCTGCCACCCGTCGCATCAACTCGTTCTACAGTTCAACTGAGCCCAAGCCCAAGCACAGGGCAGTTAATTTTTCGGCGGATGAGAGGGGAGGTGAGCAGTTCGACGAGTTTCCGGCAAGTCTTTTGTTTGATGGCCGTGGGCCACAGTCCCCCCTTCGTGGGTGGTGATCCCCCCCTCGTAAGCGATGCTCCCCCCCTCGTAAGCGATGCTCCCCCGATCGAGGCAGAAGGTTCCAGCGTCACTGCAGAAGGTTCCCCGTTTATGGCTTCCCCACCGGTGACTGAAGGTTTCCCCTTTTCGCGGGTGTCTGCGCCGGAGCCAGTGCCGAAGTTGAGTTGGTTTCTACGTGGGTCGTTGCCGGTGCGTTTGACGAGGTTGGCGATTGGAGGTTCGAGTGAGTTGTTTGGGTCGTCACGGGAGAGGGCAGTGGAGAGGTTGTGTGCATTGTGTGGCCGTCCTATGCACGAGTTGGTTCGGGGGGCGACGTTGGCGGACCTGGCGGAGTGCAGTTTGGATTACGTTGAGTGTGCGGCGGTAATCGGATTATTTTACACACGCGTGTTTGGTTCATTTTCGGACGAAGGTTGCAAGGCGTTGTTGGGCGTCCTGGAGTTACACGAGTACGTGCAGCCGGGACGGACACTACGGCGCGCAATGGAGGCCTGGGCCGGCGGCTGTTTGTTTCTCAAAGCCGGCATAACAATCGATCAACTCGCCGACTTCTGCGCATACGAACTAGAATACCGACCTGCCATGGCGCCAAATGGCTTCGCATTAGAATGTCTAAGACCCAAAGCACTTTCCCGACAGAATTATGAAACCCGCAAAGGCAAAAAGAACCGACCAAATCTGTTCAAAAACCAAACGGTTCCGCAAGACCTCGGTGAAAATAGAGAAGACCTGCGGAGTCTTCTACTCCGCTCCGGACAACCAATCACTCTCGCCCAGTTCCTAAAACGGCTCTCAGTTGCCGAAACCACCAAAGATACCCACACCGGTAGTAAAGTCTCTCCCGCCAAGGCCGCCTCTCCCGCCAAGGCCGCCTCTCCCGCCAAGGCCGCCTCTCCCGCCAAGGCCGCCTCTCCCACCAAGGCCGCCTCTCCCGCCAAGGCCGCCTCTCCCGCTAAGGAGCTTGTTATCACCAAGAAGGAGCAAGAAGCCAAGCATCTGCAAACCGCTACCACCCAACTCTACCCAAATGGGATGATCCTCGATACTGGTGGGTCCCTGCACCACTCACACGACCATGCGTGACGGGGATCTTGTTTGGACGTGTGTGTGTCACTTACGCACACACTTTGTGATCCGTTTTTGGTTCCCTTTTTTTCTTGATCTCACAAACCCGTGTCGGATTATCGGTGTGGGGTTGCATGGATGGCGACCAGAAGACATTCGATGCTATGTGGCGGCCAGCCAAGTGGAGACGATAACTGGTTGGTTGGGGTCGTCGTCATGTGAATGAAGTGGGGGCAGTTCGCCAGTCTGTGGGTGCGTAGACAGATATACGTCGGCAGACGACTGGCACACGGTTGATAAGAGCGCGTGTTGACGGCGCCGGAGTGGCCCACGGAGAGCGAATTGTGGCGTCTAACAAGCCCAGGGTTGGTACGGGAGAAAGGGCCGGCATCATGCCGGATCGCGGTTGGGAAGGGTACTCGCTGATGTCGCTTCAGTGGTTCACGGTTGCTGGGAAAACGAGGGGGTGGCCGAAGACAGCCCACGGCTGTCGTAATTACGTACGGACCGGACGGACGGCACCTGAGCGAGCCATGGCTGGCAGCCGGACTAGCAGGGAATCTGACTGGCCCACGGTTATGGTGAGTTCGAGATTACGACACGCCGCTGGTTTAGGTACTAAGTGTCGGCACACCAAGGGCACACGGGTGCGTCGGAATCGTAGATGTGTGGTTGCATGTGAGGGATGGCACCAGTGGGACGGCTTGGTGGCTGTGAGTGGTTTCGCAGGGGTTGTCAAAAAAGTGCAGGAGATTGACAAACGAAATACCGTGTAGCAGTGGACTAATCGAGCCCAGCCCGGTCCACGCTGGGTACTGAAGGAGGGTCCACAAATGATGGCTGTTGTGTCTTACTTGTGTGGCAGTAAAAACGGGGCCAAAAAAATTTCAGCATGAGAAACCCAGTAGCCTCGAGACACACCGAAGGCGCACTTGCGAGCGCCGTAGCGATTGCAGGCCTGCCGAAGGACACGCATCCGCGCGATGGGTCTGAAGCGAGCGGTCGGGCAGCACATCCGACCGGCGGCATTTCCTATGAGCCCCGCAACTTCCGAGGTGGTCCTGATCCGCGACTGCATCCGCGAAATGATCCCGGACGCAATCGCCAGGACGCGCCCAATGCCCGTTACGGCAACAATAACTACGACTACAATCGAAATGTGCAGCAAATGTTCGGTAACTACAGAAGGTAGCCACCAGTCAATTCGACGAGTGTTTAACTGCGACGCCAGGCCCATCTTGTGACGACACAAGAAGTGAGGTCATCGCGAAGTGAGGGTTTGCAAGGACACAATTTTTTTACGGTTACGATCAGCCACATGTCGACAATTATTTCTTATTCACCTTTTTTCCACACATCAGACTCATAGATGTTCTCACACCTATTAATCCTGTAAACATGACCTTTCAAAACCACCACAGCCAAGCCCAGGTTGGCTGGGTTGTATGCCCAAAAGTTATGGAAAGATACCTTCGTGTATGATTTTAGTGAAAAATAGGTGTTCGTGACTCGAACCGGGGGGCTCCAGCTTAAAAGTGATGTGGTTACTCGTAGGTGGATGGTCTGGGAGATTCGGGCACGATATGTGTCATAGCTGCAAATTCGCGGGGGACATCGGCGTGCATGCCGGACTTAGAGTCGTAGACTTGTTCACCCATGACCCAGGTTTCGTGTATGATTACGTCGTCGTCTAGTACAATGAGATCAGCGTCGGCACCAGGGTTGAGGTGTCCCTTCCATTTGTCGATGCCGAGGCATTCGGCAGGATGAGTGGAAGCAGCGGTCAGTGCGTAGGCGAGGCCGCATTGTGTTTCGCGTGCGAATAGACGGACACATTCATCCAGAGAGGCGACGACTCCTGCTAGTGTGTCAGTGCCTTTTTTGAGAGCGCGACGGGGCGTGCCGCCTACCTCGACCTCAGTTTCACCCAACTTGTACATCCCATCTGGTAGTCCCAATGCCGCCATTGCGTCCGTGATCAAACACAACCCGTGTCTGTTGAGACAGTATGCGATGCGCAGCGAATACGGGTGGGTGTGGATGCAGTCCGCAATCAAGCCATAGTACAACGTCGATGGACAGTAATTCGACCCGCAGTCTGACTCCGCGTTCTCCAACAACCCAGCCATCTCGCTGTACTCCAAACACATCTTGCTACCAAACTCACTCTCCGGCTTGCACTCGTGTGCCCGAGAATCCCGCGTCTCACCACAGCCCGTAACCGCTGACGAGGCACCCTGGCGTGCTGGCGTGACGACCTTTTCCGTGCTGATATCTTTCGTTGCGGCGACCTTGTTGTTTAGCATGGTAAAGAAGGGTGTAAGCTTGGTGAAGCGTTGACCCATCTCGAGTGTCTTAGCCGAAATGAGACCGGGCAGAGCGGGTTCTTTGTGACCGAAGGCGTTCATGGCGGAGAAGAGGTGGGTAAGACAAGAAGCTCCCTGTGCGAGAGCACGGGCGCCTGTCTCATAGTTGGAAGTAGAATGGCCCAGTGACACTACGATGCCTTCGCTCGACAGCTGCTTCACAACGTTCATCGCACCCGGGTGTTCCGGGGCCAATGTTAACAATACAATGTTACTCCGGTCTTCGCCATAACATTTATTTAATACCTTCTGCGCATCCTCCACCGTCGCACATTCTGGAATCGACTGCACCAGATGCGGTGGGTGACAACCCCGCTTCTCCATCGAAATAAACGGCCCTTCCGTATGCACACCCAAAACCGTTGCGCCATTAGCTGCTGAACCCTCGCGGTACGGAATCTGCGGCAACCGATGCTTATACTCCTCCGGAGTGGCAGTAATAATCGTAGGACAGTACGACGTACACCCAGTCTGAGTTATCAACAGCGAACACTTATCCAAGGCGTACTTTAAATCATCCGACGCTGAAAAATCCACGCCATACGCCCCATTCACCTACGAACAAGACACATACATGTGCACACCATTCACCTACATGTGCGATCATACACACACATGTGCGATCATACGCACACATGTGCGAACACACACGGGCACAAAAATATGAGGTTGATTACCTGTATGTCGATGAAGCCGGGTGCAATAATTTTGTTGTAGCAATTATGTCTATCAATTCTTGCCGCTTCTCGACCTCTCTCGGGGGTTACAATCTTCTTGCCAATAACCCAAAGCTCATCGGAGACCAGTTTTTCATTTCTGAGGACACGGGCGTTGTAAAAGCAGTGCGCGACTTGTTCCATTTCAAAAATATTTTGCACCAGAAAAAAAAAGAATTATCGATAGCGTTCTAAAACCGAATCGCCGGAATCTTGATATTCATGTAGTGGTATCCAAGATTCTCCGTGAACATCTTTCATTTCACAATAAATCTTGCCACCCTGCCAAACTGCATACACGCCACTTTCCGGTTTCCGTATTCTAAAAACACACGATGCACGCACGATGCACACACGATGCAAACACGACGCACACACGACGCACACACGACGCACATAAATACAACGGAGATGAGCACAAGTGTGGGTGCTTACTTGACGAGATGCTGTTTAGCTTTTGGTACAATCCTTGTAAGAGTGTCGTGTAACCTTGTGTCTAGACCATCGAAAAGGGAGCTACCACCGGATAGGATGATATTTTGGAGCATGCTTGTTCTGAGGTCGATAGGGCATTTTGCAATGGAGCCCATGACAATATCGAAGAGGGGTGGATGGTCTTTTTCTATAAGGGCAGGATTGAATAGAGCTTCTGCGCAGTAGAAGCGTTCGGGGCCGAGGTTTATTTGGCTGGTGCCGTCTCTAAGTTTAAACCCGTCGGGGAGGGAGAATTGGACGTTGAGATCAGTGCGGAGATCCTCTGCTGCGGGATCTAAGGGTACGTAGCAGTAAGTTTCTTTAATGAGTCTGCAATATTCGAAGTCGTCTCTGGTAGTGAAAGCGAAGCCGTTGTTGCAGAGTAATTTTTGAAGGTACATTGTGAGCTCCTGACCGCCGCAGTCGATCCTGGTGACACCTTCATTTATGATTTGTCCCTCCATAACAGGGACAACCTGCGTGACGCCTTCACCAATTTCCGTGGTGAGACCCGTTGTCATAGCTACTGAATAAAGGCCCAGAACCCCTTGTACCTGGATGCTGACTTCCGGTGCTCCAAACATCTCAAAAAGCGTCTCCAAAATCTTCTGCTGATGAGTCCTCGAAGCCTTAGGCGGCTGCGTTATAAGAATGGGCGCCTGGTCACCGGTCAAACCAAACTTCCCGGAGAATACGTGCGTCCATATCTCATCCATCGAGTTCCAGTCTTTTATATGCCCGTGGTCAATCGGACTGAAGAGAGATAGCTTGTCCCGACATTCCACCGCCTCCTCTCCACAAAACACCGGATAACCCCGATATTGCTCCACGAACCGCCGACGTGGCTTGCCCACTAACGCAGGAAATACACCTGAAGGCTCCGCGGCGTGGCTGGACCCAGCCTTGATATAACCTGAACCCAAATCAACCACTATTGGCACCGCCGACATTAATTTCAAAAACACTTGTTTCCATGGTGATGGTCGCTGTCAAAGCATTCCCCATGAACATACAATCCCTATTCGGCGGTCAGAACGGTCAGAACGCACCCGTCATAGTAGACATCATCATGGATCAACAACCATGCAAGTCTTTCAAAGTATGCCGAACCCCAGGCAGGAATATCGCACTGGCAGCAGAAATATCGCACTGGCAGCAGAAATATCGCACTGGGGGGTTTCCCTTTAGGATGGAATGCCGATAAAAGGATCGATAATAGTACATTCAGCGGCCAAGAATCGGATCAATGTAACGGGGATTAATATTGAGTTAATAGGAAAGCTGGAAGTGAGTTCATGCAAGAATCCCCTGAGTATTAACTTCTGCTACGTTAACAAGTCCTTACCAATTATCGATTCCAACAACTACCCGTTCACATTCAAAAGTCCAGAGTTGCCTTACAATACATACAACGGTGTTCGCGCAAAAGTCCGTTACTACCTCAAGTGTACAGTTACTAAAGACTCCACACCTATATATAAAGAATTAGACATCCTCGTCTTAAACACGGCCCAAGGCCCTCCCATCCCCGTCAGGCCTCTCAACATTGACGTGGGCATAGAAGATTGCCTCCATATCGATGTCAGACTTGACAGGAATGCCATCAATCTTAACGGGCAAATTCTGGGTCATGTACGAACACGCCTATCACCGAACCCGGACACTCACCGAACCCGGACATTCACCGAACCTGGAGGTCCATTCCTCGTTGTAGGTCCGGACACTCATTTCGTTGTAGGTCCATTTCTTGGTTGTAAAGTTAGTTGTAAAGCATATGGAAATCAATATTCTTAGAACCGAGATCGTCGGGGGCATCCTGAGTGATCAATCGTCCGCGGAAGGACAGCTTACACATGAAACCACCCCAGTTTTCCGGTACGAACTCATGGATGGAACTCCGGGTAAAGGAGAAATCGTACCCATCAGGATGAATTTAAGGAACGTCCCTGTTGGACCCACGGAAATAAATGTCGCTAATAATTTCTCGGTCAGATATTTCCTCAGTGTTGTCATTGTTGACGAAAGCGATCGGAGGTATGAAGTTCACATTGTTCTAACCATCGGTTCTTCGTAGGTACTTCAAGAAACAAGAGGTATGGTTCTACAGGTCAGAACAAACTCCGGAAGTGACTGAGACTGCATTCGAGATACCGGAAGGATGCCTCCATTGTGATCCGTAGTAGCGCACACGCGTGTGCGGCTGCAGATGGCACCAAAAATCATCACAAATAAATGGGTGAAGGTGTTCATCTTCGCCGTTGGGCTTCTTTTGGGTACTAGGTACTATGGAAACGGCTCGGCAATGATCAATCTATTCCTCAACGGGGGAATAAGGAGCTGGATGTGTTCTGATGCGCTGGATCTGACGACAATAGACGGGGTACCATATTGTCTGGAACAAAAAGACAATATAAAGTCCCTGTACTCAATAATGTCAGGATGCGAGCTCGTGGGGTCTATGGTGGCTGGCTTGCTGATGGATTATATTGGTCCCCAGATTACCGCTGGTTTCGGCATAGCAATGCAAGTATTGGCGATAGTACTGTATATAATGGACTCAGCGGACACACCGACACTGGCGGCCGGGATGGTAATCGGAGGACTGGCAATCAACTGCGTGGCCAATCCTTCGTTTGTTCTCAGCTGGGATTTCCCGAACAACGCGTCGCTATGCGCTTCATTGACGATTGCTGCTCAGTCGCTGGCTTCCGGTGTACTGCCGGTCTTGGGCGCCGTCTGGGGCATGACCAACATGAGTTTTGCGGGAATTTGGCTATCGTACATGATCTGTATTATACCAGTCGGATTGCTATACATAGCAGCATTGCCCTCGAGCACCACAAAGGCCATGGATGAAGACCCCCCCAAGCCTTCCAGAATCGATGTCAGGGCAGAAGAAGACGTGGAACTTATATCTCCCAGTCCCGCTCCGAATAACGAGAACACCCAGCCTTCTCGGCGGCGTTCCAGCAACGCGATAGACGCGTTCCAAAAGGCGGACTCTGTTGAGGACGCTCTTAACCAAATGGGAGAGGAATGTCACGAAGCTCTACAAGCTATCATTAGTCCAGAATATATAGTTCTGAATCTCATTAATCTCGGTGCACTTGTGATGGTTGCCTTCTTCAACCTCAACACGGATGACCTGCTGGGTCCCAAGGCCGCGCGGTTCGTTGCTACCTGGATGCCCTTGCAAGCTGTATACGCTCTTCTCTGGGGTGCTATATGCGATGTGACCACCACGCCGCCAATCATGTTGCTCCACTTCGCTGCGGTAAGCTACACACACTGGTGTGTTCACGTCATTTCCATCCTTTCTAGTACGCCTTGATATACCTTCTTACCTTGGTCACGTCGCCCGTCGTGCAGTATTTGACAGCAAACCTGTTCTTGATGTTCCTGCCATTCACGTATGCCATGAAATACACTCAAATGATAGGTAGGAAATCTCATTTTCCGCATCTTCTCTTTTCCTAGCAACATGGCCTTCTCATATCCACGGCGTCCTCTTCGGCGTCTGCGGTGCCGTGTCAGGTAGCATGGCCGGAATACTGACGCTCATGTCCAAGATGGGACACCCAACCTCTCTAGCACGCATTTTGCCGGTAAGCCACTCATGAGAGAAACACTAGTTCCTGCAGTTCGTGAGTATAGCTCATTTCCTTCCCGTTGCATGGCTCTGGATGAGGTCGGCCAAAGCGGCCAAAGTCGCCTAGTCTCGACTTGAGGCTTATATCAAAACAATACTGGAGCCTCGCACCGGGCAGAATATTTGTTGCCGTATTTTTCCAGTTAGGCACATATGAATGAGACCGGAGCGTGAGGGGGGGGGGGGGGTCAAAGACCCAGCCCTCTGTGCAAGGCAAAAATTGCTGGAACAGAAAACGCAAACACTCAGAGGGCGCAGAGCACGAGACTCGGTTTGGACGGTGTTTACAAAAATAATTGCGGGACGCGGGGGAGGAAGGTAGTTGGTTCAGGATCCTCAAAGGCCGTGAGACCAGAACCTCGCGTAAAGAAGGCACTGCCGAGGATTCTCCTGGAGTGGGAGAAGCGGTCTTTTAGGACACAAAAGACGTCGGGCATATTTGGGACAACGCGCGTGTGTTTGCAGCGCATCACGGAGAGGGAGACGTTTTTACAAGGGTTGAAACGAGAAATCGGAAATACTACCAACCCAAAGGGGCTAATTACAAAACATTATTAAAACAAGAAGAGCCCTTTTAGGTTCGCGTGATAGTCTTTCTCGACCCGAAATATATTACAAAGTAAGTTAGCCGAGAAAGATGACAATTATCCGTTTTGCAGATGTCCAAATCGTCCTCCAAGCATTCTCTGATCGAGACTTCATCGAGTACCAATTTGCCCTTAGTCAAGAAGTCCCGCGAATTATCGCCCCTCGTCTCATTTCTTAGTCGATGCCAGCACATGCAGCTGCCGCTGAATGCTTTCTGGAATAGGTTTGATTCCCTGGAGCGTAGACCGTTCGCCATGCCTGAGACGTCAGCAAATCTGTTGGTCCATAAGGAATCAGTTTTCTGGCAGGAAAGGATATCCCTTCGGCCAGGGGCTTGCGACAGGCTGTTATTGGGGTTAATTCGTTGCATCGAGGCCTCGGTGATGAGGGCGGTCATTTGCGGCACATCCGGAATTGGCAAGTCGGCGCTGGTGGGGGAGCTCGTTTGGAGGTTGTCAACGCAGGCTCCAATGTTACCGATACTGTGGGAGATGCCCGCGGCGTCTCTCTTGGTCGCCGGAAACATAGCGGCAATATTTTATGACCGGTGCAGAGTTCGTTGGACACTGTCAGCGTGGCTTACGTCGTTGGGGAACGAGTACCGTAGCGGGGCTCCGGCTTTACTGGTCTTCTCTGACACTCGCCAGCCTCCAGAGGTCTTGTGCACATCTTCTTGTTTGGTCGTGGTACCGGCTTCACCAAAGCCAATCTCAGCCCTCACTAAGGACGGGCTGGACAGGTTTTGCAACGGAGGCGGATGTAAAAAGATGTTCGTGCCGGCGTGGACTGACGATGAGTGGTGTCTCTATTGTGAGATGATTGGATGGAAACAACCTCTTCAGGGACCAGATGTGCGGGATTGCATGGAGCGCAACGTGGCATGTTGGACTGGTCGGAATCCGCGGGATCTCGCGGAGGCTATCTCAGCGGAGAATATGGATGAGTGGATGGCACAGCGGAAGCTGGCCGTCATTAAGGCAGGCATTCAGGGTGATGGTTCTGGAGCAGAGCAGGCCGTGGAAATGCCGAGCAGTTCCATGGACTCGAAGGTGGTTGAAATGGTTGCCGATGAGGAAGACATCTTTTGTCCTTTCGTTGGCTTTCGGACCCCCTTGGTGAGGATGAGCGTGGCGGCGGCGATACATGAGCACTATCGGAACGAATTAGTCCAGAAGTTGAATATGCCTGGAATTTCGTCGATCGGATTTTCGTTCGAGCTCGTCTGTCAGATGTTTATCTCGCATGGCTACGAGTTCAGACATGAGGAGTTTAGCGCTGATTCTAAGGGCATCAAAACGGGACCTGCAATAGGCGATAAATGGTGGACTTCCGATCATTATTTGGGCTCGGTGACATGGAGAACATTTGAGTCGACGATGATTAAGCTGAAAAAGGAGACAAAATCCTGGACACAGAAGCCTATCTGCCTCGTACCAGCAGAATCGAATTTCCCATGCGTTGATATTTTGTTGTTGAAGAAAAAAACCGCGCATTTAATTCAGATCACAGTTGGTAAGCGTCATAGCTTGGCGCTGGAAAAACTTCAGGACATGTGCGGTGTCATGAAAGCGACGGGAATAACCAAAATACGGTTCTGCTTCATGTTGCCTGAAACGAGACTGCACGAGTGGAAAGGGATTTCTGGAGGCAAGGCCATGCCAGACGAGGTCTCAGTGACACTTATCGCCGTACACCACCAGTGGCCCGCTGCTGCCCGCCGGACGCGAGGTCGTGTCAAGACGTTGAATGGAGAGCGAGAACTTCGCCATGCCGAGAAAACTGCCACCGAAATTACTGTTGAGCCCACACTGTCAGAAGTGCTTCAAGGACTCCAGCACTTGAAGCAAGAGGTGAAGGATGGGCTGACCGAGGTGAAGGAAGAGCTGAAGGGGGTGAAGGAAGAGCTGAAGGGGGTGAAGGAAGAGCTGAAGGGGGTGAAGGAAGAGTTGAAGGATCTACGGACGGATGTCAAGGATGGTTTAACGGCAGTGCGAGATGAAATTCGGACTTCCAACGAAAAACTCATGACTTTTCTTGGCACTCTGCTTAATAAACCTGCGATTACAGGTAGCTGACGTGGATACAGGTAGCGAGTTTCGAACGCCTGAACTTAGGATCATCTTATAATACGCTAACTGATGCGTGACTTTCACTACATCATCGATCCGATTGGAGCTTAGTTGTACACACATGCCAGTGCATGCTCAGCGTTGGTAATAACTTCGGTATGGTAAGCTGGTAGACCTCGAAACTGGTATTTTTGGTGCAACTGATGGGGAGTGGACATCTAGTGGTAAAACTTCTTTTAGATCTGTCACGGCGAAATGTCTGTAGCCGACAACGGCCTAAGATCGTTTCTGTAACGTTTACTGGCGGGACGAGAAGAGAGCAACTGCAAGCGACCGCATTCGCGAGACGGGACCCCGCTGGGTGCTCCAACGCGAGATCGCTACTGAATTTGGTTATACTGCGTCACACTGGATGTGGCAATATTCTCAACAATTGCCTCTTCATACTCTCCGGTGAGTCGAACAGCACTGCGGAACTCAGAGGTACCGCAAAACTCGGAGGCGCCTGTTGGCTTTCATCCACACGGATGGGAGTCGGCGTTGAAGTAGACACGGACGTCATTCGAACTGCGGCGGAGGCACGCCTACCTAGCTACCGGTTCCCTGTAGGTGTTTCAAAAAACAAGAGATCGTTACAGTTCAGACAAGCCGCACCCGCGTGCCGCCAGTTGGCTCCGGAAATCATAACGTTGGTTGATCTGACGACGGGCCACAGGGTTCCCTATTGGTCTCGAACAAAAAGACAAGGCTCCTGTACTCAGGCGTCTCCCTTTCACAGGAGCCTTTCACTTCTCGTCTGTTCTCCTTCTTGCGTCTTCTCTTCTCCTGGCAGTCCTCTCTTCTCCTGGCAGTCCTCTTCGGCGTATCCAGTGTGTATCCAGCGGCCCCGTCTCAGCTTGCGCTATCCTCACCAGAAAGGGTTCCAGCCAATATACGCTCGGCATAGATTCGCAGGATCTGTTGCTTCTCCAATTAACCGCTCCACTTGCTCTTCTACAGTCTGAACACTCCTACAGAAAAAAATGAGACAGAGCGCCGCGTCAGGAGCGCAGTGGGACACTGAGGCCGGGGCCGGTCGGCGACTCTTGGGTTCAGTCGACAGAGTCTGTCCGACAGTCTCTCACGTGTGACTTACCCTCTTTCTGTTCCAGCTATTTTGGCCTTGCACCTTTCAAGGATGTAGAGGGCGCACAGTACGAGGTCAGAAGACTCTGTTTTCACTTGATCGCTGCGGACAAAGATGATAACTGGGGGGGGGGGGGTGGTAGGCCGGCATATTATCGTTGGGTGGTTACCTTTCTCTAGGTAGACGGGCTAGACACCTAATTTCATGCATTTGTCGGAGAAGTGCGTTCCAGGATGTGAGTGGGTCGAAGACGATGGTGTCAAGAATGGAATACAAGAGTTCCTGGTGCTGTCGGACTAGCTCGGTTCTGCGGACGGCGGAGGCCTGAAAGATGCCGCGATGGCCTGTGGGTCCGAGTGCCTTGAGGAGCATGCGGGTGAGTCGGAAGGGTACTCGTTCGGGGAATCGTTTTCGAAGCATGGCGCTCTCGAAGCAATCTCCGAAGTCGATGTGGACGACGAGGCCAGTGTCCCTATCGATCATGATATTGGAGCAATGACGATCACCAAGTCCGAGAATGTACCCGTAGCAGGACATAGCGGCGAGTGAGCGGCTATAATTTGCGCGGCGTTTGAGCCATCGTTCAAGCATGGATCCGATATTGGTATCGGCGTGTGTACTCTGTCCCAATAGCATCTCTCGCAAGTCTTCAGCTCCTGTCTCATCGTATACGGTTTTCAGTACATTGAGACGGGCGTTAAAGGGCAGGTTTTCGAAGTGTTTGGTAATGGAGTTGGAGAGACGCATTTCGTGTGCAGGGTCTTTGGTGCTGTCCAGGTTGCGCCGGTACTGGCAGATCAGTTCATGGATGGTATCTGTATTCTTGAGCCAGGATACGAAACCCATATGCTCTGGCAGTGGGACGACGGAGTATGTTAGAAGCTCAGGACTTGGCTCTTCGATTGTGGGAATCGTCGTGCCAGGGTCGCCTTCTCCAAAATCCTGTACCGCGGCTGCCGCCATACTGGCGAAAGGCGAGACGTAGCGCTTTACCGTCTCATCACAGTCGGTCGCAAGTTCATTGAATAACGAAAGCAGCTGCAAGGCACGTTGATCTTGACGCAGATCTTCGTGTGCCTTCAGTAGATACACGTAGAAACAACCATCGACACCAAGAATTCGTATCTTCTTTGGTCGTCGCTTAGTCTTAAATATGGTCGCTTCTGGGAGCACCCCGAACATGCGTGTATCTTTGCCGGGTACAGAGATAGTCCAGTCAACCTTCTGTACCAGTTCAGGCGCAACTTCGGTAATCTGGATCTGATCAGGACATCGATTCCGTAGTAGACGGTACAACGAGGAAATGTGCTTCTTCAGCATCAACCAATCCCGTGACTGAGGGTTCGCCGTCCATTCTTGTAGGTAATGTTTGATGTAGACGAGTTGGGCACTGTAATGTGCGATCGTCGAGGGTGTAGCGCGCTTGTCAATGTCCAACAACAATTCCTTAAGCTGCTGCACGGCTGCGTCCGGCCCGTCTTCGTTCAACGCTTTGGTCACGACTTCGATACCGTAAAGAAAAGCTTCGCAGAATAGCACGGCCACCTTTTTCGAACTGTCGATAAAGTTCCGGCAGTCCACGCTAAGCTGACGGTGACATATGGCCAGCTCCGTGAGCACGTCACGCGCTGGCTCTGCCAAGTCCGCGTTCACGTTGTTTGCTGAAACGGTCAAGGGAAATATCAACCGGTTCGGATCGTGGTGGCTGAGGATCGTGAGAAGTCGGCGCACTGTGGCAGCCATGACCGGCCGTGTTCGCGAAAAGCGGGATAACAGTTGTGGTAACAGCGTGAACCAACTTTCCGGCGAAGTAAACTGGCTTAGCTGCTGCACCAAGTCGTTGATCTGTAAATTTTCAGTTGCCGCGAACCATATGAAGATGATATAAAGGGTATTCCACATCCATTTCCCGCGACAAGATTCCGAGGTAGAAAGCTTCACGCAGTTAGTGAAGCCCTTGATGGCTTCACATGCGCAGTGCAGTAATCGCGCGTCCGTGATGGCGAAGCAGGAACTGGTCGCCGAAGAGTCGGCCGCGGTGGCGGCGACTCCTCCTCCCGACGGTGTCGCAGCAGTGCCAACTACCGGCACCGCAGCGGCAGACACTAGGAGGTGGCCGAACTTTTCTTGCTCGATGCCGACCTTCATGACTTGGCACAGCGGGCAGTCCGTGTCGGGGACGACGGGCAGTTCCAAGTCGTGGTCGACATCGTGGTCATGTTCGAGTTGCGCCAGACGGAACTTGCTTTGGCTGCGCACGATGCAGAAGTTGACGGTAGCATACAGCTGCCAGAGTTCGGCGTCATGCGCGTCAATGACTCGCAGGGCCCATGCGAGAGCGGCCAGCAAACCGTACTGGCCATGATGATTGGGTCGGATGATGAGTGAGTCGTCGGAGCGGCGTGAACTAAGCAGACTGCCGGCGGTGGTGGAGATCATGGTGAACTGTTTGAGGTGGCTCTTGACGACCTTGACTAGCGAGCTGTTGAAGTTCGCGTCGTTGATTACCAAATTCTTTTCTAGGTTCTCTTGCGTGAGCCAGCAATGTGGATTTAGAGAACGGGGTGAACGATATTCGACGCGCGGTGGGTTGAGCACACTCTCAGTTCCACGGTGTGGGTCCGCCGTGCGGTCGAGACACACGGGCAAGATAAGGTGATGGATCATGCCGAGCAGTTGTCTGTTTGTGGGCGAAACGGGGGCAGTGTGCGAATTGTATCTCAGGAACTGGTTCATAACATCGTAAATGCCCCGGACACCGAGTAGGGCGTCCGGCCCGCCGCATCCGACCATGATGTCCAGGAACTCCGTCAGAAGGTCCGCGTTGATCTCGCGTTGCTGCGTAAGCAACGAGAGCGTAGTCGTTTTTTGCGTGTTAGGCGACAATGTCGTCCGCACGTGCCGCAGCGTCTGCAACCAGTGCGCTGTGGACTGATGGCTAACGCCCACCACGTTGCGCACGGCCACGATCGCCTCAGCCACACTCGGGGCCCAGGCCGAGACCATGTCCCGCTTGCTCCAGGAACGGTAGATGAGGGACTCGTCCTCTTGATAGTCAATCATTTCCGCCAGCTCATCTAACTGCTGACATCTGATGAAAAGCAACGTCGCGTTCTCCACTGTGTTATTAAGACCATTGGCCAGTACCCCCAGTTGATGTGCCGTGCTCTGACACATCTGGCTAATTAACGAACTTGCCCGCCGGAACTCACGCTGGCGGTAGCAACTGATAATTTTAAAGAACTCGCACTCGTTCCGTAACGTCGTTTCCTCTTCTTCCGCAGCCGTACTGCAACTCCAGAGAGCGGTGCCGCGACCCAACGAGCCGCAGAGCCGCTGCGCCGCGCAGAAGCCTTCGGCAAAGTGCTGTAGACTCTCCCACTGGTGCAAATGAAGCGCCGCGAGACATCGGATACGCAAAATCGAACGTGTGTGCTCCGCAAACTGCAGCGGCTCATGCCGCCCCGGACCGCCGCAGTAGCTGTCCAGCGAGGCCTTCAGGGGCAATGTCTTCTGCACTTCAGCCGGCACGTGGGGCTCGCGCGACCGTCGCGTGTACGGAGACGCGCCAATCACCACCGGATAACCTACCCGCCGATTCCTACTCCCGCCACCACCCTGCGCAGGACTCCGCAACGCGCGTTGCAGCGAACTTTGTTTACCCGGACTCTGCCACAATGGTAGTCCACTTGCCGGCAGTCCATTTCCCTGTAACACACCTCCCTGTAAGATACCCGCACTTGGCTGCTGCAACAGACCGGGTTGCTGCAGTAGATTGGGATGGAGCAGCCCCTGGTGGGGCGCGCCGCAAGAGGAGTACATGAAGGCGCTCATGTTGCTGCCAATGGCGCGCCAGAGATCACTGTCGACGCCGTCGACGATTTGGATCCAGTTCTGCGCTTCGCATAGACAGCGCATGTAGTGGTTGAGTCGCGTTACGTTCTCGAGGTCGGCCAGACCGTCGCCGCCTCGGACGCGTTGGCTGGAGTACATTTGGGCCGCCTTCTCCCACTCTTGGCAATCCTTCATAAGTTGGCACTCCTGCTGGCCGCTGCTGCCGCCGAAATCGGCGTCTTTGCGCACACTCATCAAGTTGTTAAGGGTCAGAGTGAGTCCGCGAGTATATGACACTTGAGTGAGAGCACCACCGAGCCTTGCTAGCTTTCGAATCGCCGCTATGCGAGGCATAGCCGCATGTGCGGGCAGGTTGCTAAGTTCTACTTCCTTAAAGAACACGGCAGCATGCAAACGTCCGATATTCTCCGCCGCTTCTGCCAGATACCCGAAATTGAAGATACTCCGAGTCAAATCGAAGTGCACAACCAGCTCTATAGATGACATAACTACACTCTTAATCTCGGGCGGTGCACAAGAACATAACGTCTCCAATAAACGAGCAAATCTACGTCGAGCCAAATGACCATCGATCGACTGCCATAATGTCAATATCAAAATCGGTGCTAACGCGTGCACCACGTGATTTAGATTCAGTCGTGATAAATATGGGGGTAAATCACTATTCTCGATCGGTACCATATCTGAAACTAAAATCAATTGTCGAGCACTACTACTTTTCGTGCTCCGACAAATCGATATCAGCCAGTCATGGAACCATTGCAACCAATCGGCCAATGTCTGCTGCTGTCTACCTTCTAAGTTTAACTCCAAATAATCCACCTCGGCCGCCGCTTTCCTTTCCGACCACACACGTGTTTGCGCTGCCGCGCGCGCACTCTCTTTCTCCTGGAACTCTAGTTTCAATTCTTCGAACAATAAGGACACCAAATACCTAAACGCTGATGATTGAACTAACTCGTCCAATTCCTCCGTCAACTTCGCACCGTAGCGGTATACACTAAACTTATTTTTTCGTCTCGCAAACGCATCTCGAACATCCAAAAAAATTGTCAGGCACGCCACCGCCTGCAAGTCATTCTCCTCAATTTCCAACTGTTCCGAAACACTGCCTTCCCCATCAGATCGATGGGGGTCAGACCGACAGGGGTCAGACCGAGCCGGGTCGGATCGAGTTGGATCCCACCGGGTTGGGTCCGATCGAGTCGACAAGTTACTCAGGCCGCTTTCGCAGTGGGTCTTGATGAGTCCTTCTAATCTCTTTTCCACCGCTAGACACTCACGTAAGTATGGCTCAAGTTGGTTCTGAAGGAGAACGAACCCGCTAGGACTTAGGACGGAGCAGAAAACGAGGTGGCGCACACGTCTGCAAATACCTAGAAAGAGTCCCTGGTCAGCAATGCTCAGGATGCTGGACAGCGGGTAAACGAACTGATCGTCTTGCACCCTGAAGACGGCGAGTGCTTCGAAAATCGTGGCCATAAGCTGGACGATCTGGTAATGGATCTCGTGACATTCCACCTGGCCAGGGATGTAGCGACCGTCCACAGCCTTCTCCTTCATCATGCGATACAGGATTATTAACAGACGTGTGACGAGAGTAGACATCGGGTTATTTCCTACTTGATAGTCCCGTCCACGAACAACCGGTTGGGCACAGGTCAAGTACTGCACGTCCACGTTGATTTCTTTCAAAATCAACGCCATGTCGCTTGACCACAATGTAGCTGCTGCCTCCCCTAGCTCTTCGCCGCTTGACTCATTCACCGTCAGTACCCCGCAATCCGGTTCTGTGAATCGACGCCCAAGGCGACGACCGACTTCTGAACGGACTCCATCCGAGCGTGTACCCACATCAGTAGGTCGTAGTTCATCGTCGTGAGTATACGGCTTCTCCGCTGCTGCCGGTCCGTTCTCTTGCGCGCCATCCGAGTATCGATGTTCGCACGCGTGTGTGCAGCCACGTGCGCAGGTCGAAATATCACAACCAATCTCCCCCGCGCGGTCCTCAAGGGCGGAGACTACCTCCTCGAGACCGGCCGTGCAGGCGGTAATGTTTTCTCGCCCGAACCAGCAGAGGCCGAGGGGCAGACAACCGACGGGCTCCTTTGTGTCGTGCGTAATAATCAACTTGTCACATAAAGAAACGTCTTGGTATAGCGACGGCTCCCAGAAGGCATTGAGTTGACGCGTGTACCGGATCGCCCGGATCTTCATGTCCGTGCGGCTCAGCCACAATCGTTCTAACATGAATAGCGCACCCCAAAACGTCACAGTCGCTGCCGGCTTAAGGATCGCCAGCTCGTCCCAGTTGTCACAGCTCTGGATCTCAATCGAGATATCGTCCACAATGATGTTGAAAGCCTTGAGCAACTGCTTGTGCAGCACCGTAGAGTCCGTAGACACATGCTTGGTCACGAACAAACAGTAGGCAAGTGTGTGTAAAGTGCGATACACAAACTTGTCACCACGTAGTCCGTCACGGAAAGGCTGTGTCGTCACATTCGCTTGGCGCTCTGCGTCCAGCAGGAACTCTGCACGGTTGTCGAAACAGTCGGGGGTTGCCGCGTCCATGGACTCGGCCTTCATCCGCACACCCAAGTGGCCGATGAGTCGACACACAATCACGTTCAATGTCTCAATCGAAGTCCGCAAAGTCTCCCCCAAAGTGGCATTCAAATCGCGGTATCGCGACTTTATCACTGGGAGCACCAACAAATCTTCACCGAAGCACCCCGAAGCGGTTCCTTCTCCGTGCTGGTACCCATTGAAGGGCGGGGCGACGAACTTCGCTGCAGACGGAAACACCGTGCCGACGCCGTCAACCCAGTGCCCACTGAGAGATCGACCACTATGGGATTGACCGTTACCATATAAACCGTTGCCACTGTCACCGTACACGTTGTGTTTGCCGGAGTCTGCGTCGCTTGGGCTGTCAAAGGTGGGTTTGGAGTAGCCAGTTTTTAGTCGCTCGACTACACACAGCGCGGTCATGAGCAGCTGCACAAGTCCCTTTTGTAGAATGTCGAAAGAGTCTAGGAGGAAGAGGTCAGACCAGTCGTCGAGATGGTCCAGGATGGCGATGAGGAGCTTGCATGCCTTGGTCATGATGCTGAGTTCCCCGACTGCACGACTGCTTGCTGTTGCTGTATGTCGAAGTGCAGCTACCGAGCTAAGTCGGTGGTGACTTTGAGCCAGGTGGGAGATACCGAGGGTCACGGTTTCGGACAGCAGCCGGTCCCAGATCCAGCCGGTGAAGTCATCACCATTGCAATGTTGGTCATGACTCCGGACTCCTTTCGGTTCACCGCTGGTCAGGCTACGTTGGAGTGGATTGGTGCTGTAGCTGGCTTCGCGGATCAGTCCAGCAGTATCATCTGCTGCGCCGTAGCCGCTGGTGCCATAGCCACTCGTGGTGAGTCGGAGCAGAGAACATCGTCGGCCAAACAACATGCGGTTCTGACGTAATCGGGCGTAACAGTCACCAAAGGTGGGGCAGCACGGCTTGGTCATGAATCGGCGATCCGTCACGTTGAGCATGGCACGCGCCGCTCGTAATAACCAGTACAGGAAGTCTAACTCGGCTGAATGATAGTCGGTCGTTGACGGCTTAATGTTACATCCTCCGACGATAGAGCAAGTCGCCGGCTGCCCGCAGATGCCCTCACATGGCACTGGCGACAACTCTGTCAACAAGATACCCAGCTCTGGACAAGTACGTTGCATCCTCAACGTAAAAGCGTCCAACTCGCGATTTTCGTCCGCGTAGGCATATCGGTGTGCATCAGCTAACAGGATACCGAACGATGTCAGATCCGACTCCTGCCGATCTACTCGTAACAACAACCGCATCACGTGATTTATCATGGCCAATAGCAATGTCATTACCGTCCGACTTATCTGCTTACTGTTCGTCACTAATAAGCAAATAAAGATCTGAATCAACTTGCAGTGGTGCTGATGAATCTGCTTCCGGTGATCCGATGGCAACGATCGAGCCAACTGTAAGCCACGGATTATCTCCACCAGAATCGTCACAATCCGTCGCGAAGGTGCCTGTACCTGCGTTATGATCGGAATCTCGAACTGATGCCAACCTGACATGTCGATGTCGATCACCTTCTTCCCACCCATAATGCCGCCACCCATAATGCCGCCACCCATAATGCCGCCACCCATAATGCCGCCACTAGCGCCCAAAACACCGCCGCTAACTGTGCCTCCAGTAATAGCACCGATTGCAATGGTGCCCGGGTGAGCCATAGCCGAACCTGTGGTGTTGCCCGGAAGCGCCTGGATGCCGCCCACCTGGTCGTCGATTGGGTTCCCGAACTGCTTGCCCATTGAATGGTTTCCTATTGAATGGTTTCCCATTGAGTGTTTGCCAAACCGGTTGTTGCCTCCCACTGGTGGATCAAATCCTAGAAAGTTGCCTCCAATTAGCTCCTTTTCGTTGTGGAAGATGACCTTGAACATCTCATAGGTGGGCATCAAGCCGGAGTTCATGGCGAAACTTGACCTCCGAAAGAGTGTGGTGAAGCCTTGTCGAACAAATTCGGATCGGTCATTGAGAGCGGTGTCGATCATATGTTCGACGATTGCGCAATAGCGCACCAATGACTGACGATCCGTGCTTAATCGCAAGTGCTTTTGTAACGCCAAAAAGGTCAATAAACCCTGGCATCTTGTGACGGGATTTTTGTGGCTACTGCCGATCTGGAAACACGTCGAAATGGTCACGTTATCCCACTCATCTGGAATGGCGATAGCAACGATCGCCAAGCCAGCGAGAGATTGTAACAACAGACTCTCCTCACCTTCCAAACTGAAGACAAAACGGTCCTCCCGTAACTGCGGCATTGACGCTGATAACCACTCGTTACGACGCAAACTGTTATCCGGTACGGAATTACCATGCATACGAATACAGGACAATGCGGTCGCGTACTGGCCACAGTGGAACGTGGACACGGTTTTTACGTGACTAAGAGAATAGCACGTGGTGGGTGCCACCAGCACGTGGTGGGTGCCACCAGCACGTGGTGGGTGCCACCAGCACGTGGTGGGTGCCACCAGCACGTGGTGGGTGCCACCAGGACGTGGGAGGGTCAGGGTGTTGGTCGTACTGTCTGTAGAGTCGTATTGCGTTGGTGAGTTGAATAACGCTGCGTTCATAGATGAGTCTAGATATGGATTTATTTTTGAAGTGAGCAGCAAGATGCACGACAGATTGGTAGGTGAGGGCGTCAATGTTAAGTGCGGTACCGATGGTCATTTGTACGACGTTGCGGACGAGGTCTGCGACTTCGGGGTCTCTCGCATTAAGTTGTTCGTGTTGTCGTGCGACGTTTAGCACATTAAGTGCAGCTCGGCGAAGGCGATGTAGCCAGAGTCCGCAGTCACAGATGAGGTCGTTGTGGTGGTGTGTATTGCGAATTTCGATTTGCCGCACGGAGAGTATGTTCCTTTCTTTATTGCTGCAGTTGACACACACAGCTTGGTGACGGGCCCAGTTGGACAGGTTACATTTGCCACTGTGTAGTTCGAACGTGTCCGAATCACCATAGGCTAAGGCACCCTTCAACGTAGACAGCAAGTTCTTTACGTCCAGCGGGCTTAGATAATGAGCCTCAAACACTACTGGTAATAACAGAGAAACCTCGTCAAATAATTGCGGAACCAACCGGAAGTACAGAGACTTGTTCGGTGCAAACAACATCTCCCGAATCAGACCCACCTGCACCGAGTACAAGTAAGTTAACCATGACACCACCGTACCACCCGGGCCGCTAACCTTTTTGTCGGGACTGTAACCACCGCCGGGACTGTAACCACTTCCGCCGCCGTAGCTGCCACACCTGTAGCCGCTCGGTGCAGTCCAGTTAGGCGAGCAGCAGGTGCTCGGCGTATGTGCGAGTTGAGAAGTTGCTCTTTGAGAAGTTGATCCTGCAGGGGTTGCTCCTCCAGGGGCTGCTCCTGGAGGGGCTGCCCCTTGAGGCGCGTTTCCGTAGGGGGTGTCGTGGTCCGAGCGTGTGACGGAGAGAGTGGGCGTGCGTGTATATGGTCGAAGTTTGGAGTATTTGGTCATGAGGAGAGTGGAGAGGAGACGCGAGGCCTCGTAGAGGCAGGACATTTGGCGGAAGGGGTAGAACGCGCTGGGTTTTATGACCGCGAAGGCTCGTGCGATACCGGCACAAATCAATGCGTCGGAGAAGGGCTGTGTGCCTTCGCCGGCGCTGCACTCGGGGTCGTTCGGGACGGTATCGTTGACGATGGCGAACGGTTGGAGAGCCGTGTCTGAATCGCAGGGTGTGACAGTGAAGGTGAGGAGGAAGTTGAGGACTCGAGCGGCGCCGGAATATGCGACGACTCCTCGACAAAGCATGAAGTCATGGACCGTACCTGAGGGGATGCGATGCGGTTCCAGGGCCACTAAACGGGGGTATAACAGGCCCCAGAGGATGGCTCCCCACTTGCGAAACAACAACGCGCAACGGTGCAATGGCAACTGACTCCCTAAAGCCGTAAACACGACTTCCAAACACCCAATTGATTGCATTAAGACGCGCGGAGTACCTTGTTCTCGAATTAATACCGGCACGACGTGCACAAAGGCGTCCGCCACCTCCACCGCCCACGCCGTCGCCTCGGCCTGCAACGCACGAGCCGGCGCACTAGTAGTATTCCGGACCCCGTGTCCCGCCAGCATCCGACACCCCGCGGCCAGCAACGACAGGTGCTGTACTGTGTTGAGATTTCGCAACGTCTGCGCCATACTCAGGTCATCCGGAGCCACCGCCAGCCCTTCCGCCGCCGAAGCCGCCTTCAGTAATAGGGACTCCACGTGTGCAACGATCTGCAGACACGTGCGATACACACTACGATGCACTTCACGCACTAGCACAGAGGGCGCCTCAATACCACCAGGGCCCGCCACAGGCTCCAACTTGCGGCAGTACCTCTGGAATACAACCAACCAGTTTATCCAAATCAAGTCGTTCCAACTAGGGTCCGGTATCACATAGGTGCCCGCAATCGCTGGCACTAAACCAGTCACCACCACATCAGGCACCAATGACGCCGCACGGAACGCGTAGTACGTATGCAAGGCCTGGATGTGAGCCAACTGATCGGAACATTGGTCCTCTTCCTCGGTCACCGAAGCCTCTTCACGTCTTTCCGAACCGCGCCATAGACGCCAACCACCTCCCACCCCGGGTGGCGAGAATTCGTTGAGTACCTCCATAATGACCGACGCCTGTAACAGCGAGAAGACGTGCAGCACGTGGTTCGTTAGCGCAATCAGACTCTGGCTCTGTAGCGCGCAGTTCTTCAAAACCGTTTTGTCGCCACCCAGTTCTTCCGGTGGCCGCCCGCGTAGGCCCGGTCCCGGTGTCTGCGGTCGGCTTTGGGTCCTGGGTCCCCGATACAAGTCGAGTTCGGGCTTGGAAGCGGACGCCTCCCGCTCCGACCCGGGAATTGAACCAGCGGTCTGCAGGTACCAAAGGAGCGTGGCGAAGACACAGTGCAAAAAGACCTGCGTCGCCGTCTGCGGGACAGCGTCCATTTGCAACCGGAGAACCTGCTCCAATGGGGGGTGCTCCACAAGCGCGTCGAACCAGCTACCCGCTGGCCGACCCCCGCAACATACAGAAGACTGGTCCAGGCTTGGCCGCCGCGGCGTCTCCGAAAGGAGAGCCGGACGACCTACCGAACGTCGACGTTTAAAGACCTTCGAAATATAGTGCAGCGCATTTGTCGTCGAACTTAACCGCGGACTAGACTGCTCGCTTTCCTCCTTCGCCACATCCGCCAATAATATCAACACACATTTGGCAAACTTGTCCACCCGACCCCCGCCAATCCAGGCCAGCGAGATCCGCAATCCCCCTTTCATCCCCGGATCCCCCTTTTTCAAAAATCCAACAAGTCCACACCACCTGAACCGACGGCTGCACTTGAACCCACGGCCGCGTTTGGACCAACACCCACACTACCAGCAACGCCTAGCGTCGCATTCGGGACACTCTCCCCCAATGAAACGGCGGCCATCGCCTCCTCCAAGCTCGCCACAGGACCCACACTCTTAGGTGAGTCACTGTCCAACAAATCCAAGTTCCGACGCACCGAGTACCGGCTTGGCCGTTCCCACGTCGCCGCCGGCAATGTGGACTCCGTCCCGAGCGGCTTGTCCGTGCTTACACCCTCGCGCAGTGGCGCTGCCCGCAAAACCTCCGCGTTGCCCTTCAACGCCACCAAACTCTCCTCAACCATGTCGTTCAAAAACGAGTCCGTGTCTGCACACACATTGTCTCACTCAATACATGGTCTGGTCTCGTCTTCCGCACATGTGTGTCTGTGCACACGCGTGTGTGTCTGTGCACACGTGTGTGTGTCTGTGCACACGCGTGTGTGTCTGTGCACACGTGTGTGTGTGTGACTTACTGCGCGTCATGAGTCCCTGGAGAAGGCGGATTGCTCGGTCTCTGTGGCCGGCGGCACCGATTTTGGCGATGCCTGCGACGACGGCGGCTCGGAGTTGGGCGGAATCTTCTGCTGCCTGGAGGCTTTCCTTGGGCAGGACGACGCGGGGGAAAGCGCAGCTAACGTCGTCTGCGAAGATGTGGTCTTTGGTGGAGGGTGGGTCCAGGACGGTTCGCATGGAGACGGGGCCGAAGACACCAGGGACTCGGTGGCCTGCATCGGCGATGACTAGAGCGTTGGCTCTGCGATCGGCGTGGTTGTCGGTCGTTCCTAGGCCGTAGGTGGAGATGACGGTTTCAGTGAGGTTAAGAACGACGTCACCGAGCGCGTGTTCGCCATATTCGGCTGCGACGGTGGAGGCGACGGAGATAGTGAGAGAGGCGAGGGGTGCGTTGTAGATGTTGTCTTTCAGTGCGTTCACGAGCTGTGTACAAATGGAGGCGTGCATTTCCGGGGGACAGGAAAGGAGCGTGTGGTGCATGGCAAGTCGGGTCTGGCGGGTGAGATTGTTGCCGACAAGTTTGCACAGCACAATCGAGGACTGTACTTCCCAGGCTTTTGTGGGCGCAAAGGCCGAGACCAAATCTTCGATACTGTCGATTACAGTACTCACCAGCTTGCTGTGTACCGAGTAAATCACCTCGCGACTCCGCGCTGTCGTGTGCACATCGTTCACCACCACTGCAGTGCGGCCGGAGACCTGGACGTCCTTGCCAGCCGGCGCGATTTCTTCGCGCAACTTCGCCACCGGCACCGGGTCCGAAACGACCATCAAAAAGTCCAAAAGCTTCTCCGTGATCTCCACCGCACTCGCCGGCGTAGCTATGTGTCTCAGGCACTCCACCGCACGTGTTTGCACACTTTTGTCACACTCCTGTAGCAATCGAAACAAGGTCGGTTTCAGACTTGGTCGGAAGAAGGCTGGTGGTACCCCCTGCATGACTGACATCAACGCCACCTTCACCGTCGGGTCCTTACTGCCTAAGATTACATCCACCCATTGCAGTAAGGAAGCCTTCAAACTCCCGTACCAACTCGGTTCCCCTTCCGCCGCAGTCAACTCTGGCGACCCCATCAAACAGGAGCCCAAAGGTTGCGCCGCAGACGGGTCGGTTTGAGCAGACGTCTCCACAGGTGTAGGAGAATCCGCTTCGGAAGAGGAACTCATGTCCAGAGGGTTAACGACAGGACGTCTGGCCCCACTCGGTCGACTGACCCCCGTCGGGTGAGTCATACCAGCTGGGTGACTAACCCCAGTGGGGAGGAGGTAACCAGCCGGCGTGGGGTATTTGAGCAAAGCAGTAGCCAACTTAAGCGCCTCCAAAACAATGGCCGTGGCGGAACTTTTGTACGTTTCGCTGGGCTCTAGGAGGATCGAGAGCAACTCTGCCAGAGAGCCACAAATCGCCGATACGTCCACCGGTTCCGTGGGTGCCGCTGCTGCCTTGGTGGACGCCGGGAAATGGTCAAAAGGCGAAGAGGCGCGGGGTACTAACGGATCGATGTCAGACTGCCCAGGACTGGCCTGACCGGTACCGAGCAAAGACGGCTCATTCAACGCCTTGAGGATCAAAGTCAGTACCTTGAGGAGCTTCACTTGCAGGAACGGATCACATAGACCCTGATAGTCAAACTCGGCCAAGGTAATTGCGCCATGCCGAATACCATATTGGTTGTGGCCACCACCGCTACTACTGCCGGCAAGAGCGGGACTCGCCAGAATCAATTCCTTCTCAATCTTTATCAACGTGTCCACCGTCTTCAACACGTTATGGAGCACCGTCTTGTCCTGTCCTGCCATCTTAATAATCGTCTCCTCCAAGGCGAGACAACTAATGATGCTCCCGTGATTCCGCTCCGACAAATATGTGGATAATGACTTGGAATACTTCAAAGCCCGAGAAGGGTCATTTCGAACAAACCTGAAATATACGTGTGCGCGTGTTTCGCACACGTGTGTGCTGGGCATCCTGAGAATATGGGAGTGGTCTGGAAGTCTAACTTGGCACATAAAATAAGAGCCTTTTTCCGTAATGTAGGGTTCGTAGACACTACCACCGAGTCAATCTCACCCGAAAGGGTCTCAATCATGTCTGGGGTGCCCACGTTCGCCAAACAAGTCAACGCGGAGCCACTAACGTACTGATTCTAAAAGAAAGTCAAATCACACTCGGGGTTTACCCAGCTGGAAGTGTTTAAGTAGTAAGATTGTTCATTAGGGTTAGGAGATCTCACGCCATTGGTAATGTCATTTTTGATACTGTTAGTAGCAAGCATCAAAATATCTACATACTGATCCATAAGTACAGGGATGGCAAGATATCCAATCCTCTTTTCAAAGAAATAATTGGACGCAAGTAGTTTCAAACAATCCATTTGTCCAAATGTTACAGAATAACCCATGAGGTCTATGAACATCAATTTGGCAACATTCCGATGTCTATATGAATGATTCTCTTCCTACAACAGAGATCACTTGTCCGGGAGGCGACCCACCCACCAGGCAGGTAGATGACCCACCCACTAGACAAGTGACCGACCCACTAGACAAGTCATTCATTACCTTGAGCGCTGATCGAATCGCGGCACATTCTTTTGCGATTACCGCTGCCTCTTCCGCTTGTGATTTACATGCTCTAACCTTGCTAATGAAAGGTTGCAATTTTGTTGACATACCCCCACAGTTACGGTGCCAAAAAAGAATTTCATTTATTGCCCCAAATGATCCACGCAGCAAATAGGATGCCTGCAAAAGGTAACATTTAGGGAGGGTGAACACAATGAGGTTGATATTAACACAACTCAGAAGATTGGAACTCAGAAGAGAAATATTCTTACCCGGGAGCCAGAAGAATAGACAGCACACTAAATCAAGCCAGAAATTATTGGTTAGTTTGTCTTCGTGCAGGAAGACGGCTGCTGGAGGAAGTAGGATGGTCAAGATGACCAACAAGATGGTATTAGTATCGGCGCTCATTTCTGGTGCAGGTACAAATTTTTAATGGTGAAGGTGCTGACGTCTCCGAAAAATAATGGCACTGATCTAGACGTAAGCCCTTCATTGCAGCACTTTATTACCCCCCCTTCATTACCCCCCTTCCACTGAGTAAAGAGTCGGGCATTATTGGTCTGGTGGTGTTGGTCTAATACTGATATGCCACAGGATTTTGCTAAAGATATAATGGATTCAATGCCGGGAGTATTTAGTGTCTCCAGCATTTTGCGTGCGGTCAAGATTGTGATATTATGTAGCAAAGAGAAAGATCCTTCTATACTGGAAAGACTTAGCGCGTTACCCAACGTCAAATATGCGGAGTGGGACGCCGAGGTTCATATGTGTTAAGAATCATATTCTATTTCATGAATTTTAAGTAAACCTTCAGAACCAGCAGTGATAACTACATTTTCGAACAAAAATCTGAAAGGGATAATATTATTGCCAAAGTGTGTGCACACGTGTTTGTGACGGTCTGACAGTCTTACCGGGCAAATAGATTGTAGCCGGAATGGTTATCCTTGAGCTTGATGTTGGTGTGTAGAGAGTGAATATTCCAAACAAATAATTCGTGAGTTGATGTTGAGATTAGACGGTTACCATTAGGACTCCAGGCAAGATCGCAAACACGGGTGCGATGTTCACCCCATTGATTATCAACAACCATTTTGTTTGGATCGGTCGGATCTGTTTCACGAACACGAATATAAGTCCCACTTGAATAGGCCACGAGTGTACCGTCTCTATTAATACTAATAGCGGTCACCTTTTTTTCTTTCGTCGGTATCATCTTGATGAATTTAAAACCTTGAATAGAAGCAGCATTAACCACCTCATAAATCTCAATAACCACTTGGTCGTCACTTAATTCCTGATCCCCCTTCATAGCATCTGGGTAGTCTGCAGCCGTTGCCATAACGGCAACACATATGAGACTTCCATCCTGAGTTGCGCTAACGCAAAGTGGCTTAATTCGCATTTTGACGTTCCAGATCTCGCTCACATCATTGTTCTGTATCCTGTAAACATTCAACGTTCCCGCCTCCGTAAATAGCCCGATATAGTTAGTGCGATCTCCTCCTCCAGTAACTCCTCCTCCAGTAACTCCTCCTCCAGTATCCCCTCCCCCAGTAACTCCTCCCCCAGTAACTCCTCCCCCAGTAACTCCTCCCCCAGTAACTCCTCCTCCAGTGGTACCTTTAAGAAACATAAGAGCCAGGGGGGTAAGTCCCGAGAGGCGGAATTCCCCTATTTCTTTGACTTCTGTTCTTGTTTTTGGTTTGTAAGTCGTGGTGGTTGCTTCAGCGTTGGTGCCTCGTAGGATTTCGTAGCATTGTTGCACACCGAATTGGTCTTCATTGGACTTGATGTTTACGTGGGAGTACTTGTAGACCTTGACACAGCCATCGGCGGCGGCAGCAGCTCCGACGAGTCCGTTTGTGATGCAGCTCCGTATTTGGCGGTCGCTCTCCATCCGGGCAACATCGAACGTGTGTGGTATGACCATACCGGTGTCGAGGAACATGAGGTAACCCATATTTGTGCCAATGAGTAGCTGAGAAGATTTCATGTCGAAGTGTACCACACTAGGCCCACCTTTCGGTCCGTATAGCCTCAGGTGCGGTTGGGCAGTCTGCAGCTTGGCCCAGTCGTACTGCCACTGTGGCGAAGACGACACGTGCGGCGGGGTCAAAGGCAGCGCTCCATCCACGCCCATATTGCAGACCGACAGCCGTCGCCTCCGGCCACCCAAGGCCGCGGCCGGCGGCGACGAAGGAGTTGGGGTTGCGGCTTCAGTTGCGATAGCGCTCGGTGTTGCAGAGGACGACTTGGTGGGCGTGTCGGACACAGACCCGCGAGCGGGGGGGATGCTCAGAGAGGCCCGACGGTGCGCTTCTTCCTTAAGTTCTTCCTTCAGGCTTTGTTCCAAAAGCGCGGTCTTGCAACTCCGGTCGGCTCCGTCGAGCAGCTTCCAGGCCAGGATGGCGCCAGAGTCGGTTAAGGCGAGTACCCAGTGGTTTTCACTCCAGAGAATACCTCGCGGGATATGTTCGTGAGTCGGAATGTTATGAGCGACGGTCACTGACTCCAGTTTGAAGTCGATTTGCAGGACGTGGATTGAGTTGTCGTTGCAAGCCACGGCGAAAGTGTCATCGCGATTTCGACTCCAGGCAAGAGAGATGGGCGAGATCATGCCCAGGTCGGCGTCGGTAATGAGCTTCAATTGCCGGTCGAACACCGCCAGGTATCCCTGGGCCCCGGACACGACGAGGTAATTGCCGCTGGGACTGTATCGAACACATGTTAGAATGGGCGAGGCCTCCACAGTCTGAGTGCATTTGTAAGGAGGACCAGTGTGTACACACACCTTCCCGTCAACACCAGCGGTCGTGATCTGATACGGCTTGTTCGGACTAAAACAGACAGAAGAAATACCGCCTACGTGTCCCTTGATGGCGCCGATTTTGGCACCCGTGTCGACTAATAACACGGCGCCATGAACCTGAGAATGTTGATCCAACCCCACCACCGCCAGACGCTGCCCGTCTGCAGTCAAACAAATATCCGTCAAGTGCACATACCGCATGTGGTCTTGCTTGTAACAACTGTAATTCACCTTACCACCTTCATTCAACCAAATGTGACAGTACCCATCATTGTCACCACCCGCCACCACACGTCCATCCAGAGACGCCGTCGCACACGTTATCGGCCGCTTAGACCCCCCGTACACCTCCACAGGTGACTTGCCCAACAACACTTGATCCGGCAAACTTCGCACCACCACACCTGCGTTCGTACCATAAACTAAACGACGCCAGGCACTCATATGCAAAGGCGTCACCGCCTTCTTCGATTGCTGCACCCACGAAGGCTGCGGCGGGATCGCGGCAGCCACTCTTGATGCTACCATTTTTTTCCGATCAGTTTTAACCAACCACGCTACCCGGAATGCCCTACCCTGCTCTACCCGGATGTGGTGTCTGACGACCATCCACAAAGGTACCAAAGAATTGAAGGAGAATTACCGGCCAAGTCTATCCGAAACGGCAACCAAGGGGAACTGCACCCACCATTCAAAGAGCCAGCCGTTGTTCGAACCTCAAGGTCCCAGCCATTGCTTATACTTGTCACTCGAGATGTGCGATGGATGTGGCGGGCGACTTGGATGCGATAAAGCTGGATCTACCTAAAGACGTGTTCCAAATCGTTCAAGACTCCTCAGGTTACTCCATGCATGCACGCATGCATGATCAAGCGCTAAAATTCCATGTGGTAAAAACCCGGGCAAAAATTTCGTCAACACTCTGGTCCATACCGTCAATAACCTCCATAACAAACCGCAACCGGTTGGCAAGAACTTCTCGGTATCGGGGTTCTTCCTTTTCTGTTGGAAAATCGAACCCGATCCCGTCAATAATCATACTCCATCGATCTTGATCTACTCTATCCCAGTTCACACGTCGACTCGAGTCTCCTGGTTTCTGGGAATCTGTCGGCCCGCCGAAATCTTCTGGTCCAGCGTAATCGGACTTCTTCAGTTGATCGCAGATATTTTCGAAGTGCCTCGACCGGAGCCATTCCCAAAACTTTGCGGGGCTCCACGGCTTTTCGCACCTCTCACAAGTTTTCGTTGAAGCATGGAATTTACTACCTTCCCCGCAGTTGTAACAGCTCGCCGACAAAGTATGAATCAGTTGGCCCCCGGCTTCCCACTCACTAGCCTTCCGAGCCAATTCGAAAACTGACAGTCCCGGTGACAAGATGTGATGGGGTACCATTTCGCGCCAGCCGTGTCTCAGCGAGTCGTACGCCCAAACCAGGTAGCGTGGCTGAATTCGCAGATTGGTTTCTGTCTCCTTAATCATTCGAAACTTGTTTCCTGAAATATCCATCAGATACGGTGGAGGTGAATCGCTCATGATGGCCTGGATGAACTTGTGGTGTCCAGAGCCATTAGTGAGTGCCAATTTTGTTACTCTCTCACGTATTCGCTGTCTTCGCTTTGTGCTACGGACTTCAGAAGAGACCTCGGTAAGGGGCACTCGTAAATCTCCCATCATTCTCACTACAAGTCCGTCAAACTCTGCCGCTGAGAGGCAGTCAGTAGGGCGATTATTTGTTTCGTTTGGGGGGATATTGCCCTTGTAGCGACGCCGCCAACGGGTCATGTTTAAAGCGAATTGGTTGCCGCCCACCTCATCAACAGGCCACTGGTCCAGCAGGTCATGCAGTGCATCATCCACATTGGCTAACCGAATGAACCAAGCACCTTTCTTGTCATCCTTCTGTAATGCGCCTCTGAATCCAACATCACTTGCAGATCGCCTCTTCAACCACTCGATAAGTGCCCGCGCATCCCACACAAGCTCGTCGGTGATACAATAGGAGGCTTTGTAACACCGTGCTGCCAATGTGGACGTGCCTCTTAAACCCGGATCCCGTTTCCTCGATGTGTCCCAAGTGACAGCCATTTGGGCAAGACCAAACACTGAAACTGGTTTTTTCGCCACTTCAAAAGGAACCAAATGCCACCAGCCCCAATACAATATGTCGTATGCCCATACTAAGTATCTGGCTGGGACTCGCCATTCCTCTTCTTGTGGGAATATGATTTGAAAGGAAGGAATGGACTTACTCACGCCACCACAAATTATGCTGATCATAGCTGGACAATCGACGGGAGTATCCGGACGGGGCTTTTCACATAATCCGTACCTAGGAACGGGATCCACTAGGTTAGTACAATAGGAGCTGATTCTGTAAACAATCAAACGTTCATGTTCCCATCGACAAAATCCGTTTGGGGATTTCTTGACCATTTGACGCCCAGGAATCCAAAAGGCCATGAACCTTCCTGACAACGACTGATAGCCAGTTGACGGTAAGTACTTCTCGATTGCTGAATCGCAAATCTCGAATGTGGCTTCCTTCTTTCCTGTGGGAATATCAAAACCGATTTCGTCGATCAACCTTATCAACCAATTTCTATCTACTCTAATAGATCGATTTGAATCTTTATGATTTGAATCTTTATGACTTGAATCTCCTATGTCTTCTTCTACAGGGTGGTTGGTATGTCTCTTAAGCTGATCGTAAATATTTTCGAAATGTCTCGATCGAAGCCATTCCCAAAACTCTTCCGGGTTCCACGATTTTTCACATCTCTCACAAGTTGTCCCTGGATAGTGCACTCTGCCAACACTTTCTCTGCACATATAACAGCTGGATAATAAACTGTACATACGTCCACCACCTGCTTCCCATTCCTGAGCCTTCTGAGCCAATCCGAAAAGGGACAGTCCCTGTGAGGAGATGGGTATCATACCCCACCAGCCATGATTTAGAATGTCGTAGGCCCAGACCAGATAACGCGGTGGAATCCGCAAATCATCCTCTCCCTCTTTAACTACCTGAAATTTGTTTCCCCCAACACCGACGAGATGTGATGGAAGTAAGTCGCCCATGATGGTTTTCACCAACGACGCTTCCCTGGGATCTCTCATCACTACTTCGGCCACTCTCTCACGTATTCGCTGCCTTCGCTGAGCCCTCCGGAACGCCTTCGAAACCTCAGTAAGGGGAACGCGTAAACGTCCCAATGTCCTTACCACTAATTCATCGAACTGCCGCCCCGACATGCATGGGCCACCGGATGACCCCGAGTAATGCTTCTGGTAACGCAATCGCCAACGACGCATGTTCTGCTTCAACTGACAGCTACCAATCTCATCAACCGGCCAATTGCAAAATAAATCCTGCAGTGAAGCATTAACGTCACTTAACGGTATTAATTGACATGTACAACGAGCTTGACATTTACATCGAACTCTACCCCGACTACTATCTTCTTTAGCGTCCCAATTATTATTAGCGTCCCGATTATTATTAGCGTCAATATAATTTCCGAATCCTAGATCGTCTATAGATCTCTCCATTTTTAGCTTGAAAGAAAACATCGGTACATCCCAGAGGACACGGCTATTTCGATTGCCTCTGTAACAGCGTGCTTCCAATAGGACATTGACTTTTAGACCTGGGTTAGCCTTCCTCGCTTCCTCCCACTCAACAGCCTTTCGAGCTAGTCCAAAAACCGACACGGGCTTCTTCACTTGGAAAGGAACCAAGTGCCACCAACCATGACTTAGTATGTCATACGCCCATACCAGATACTTTGCTTCAACCGATGATGCGTCCTCATGTGGGAAGGTAATTTGAAATGCAGGAATACACTCATTAACGAGATCATACGTCCTGTCAAGTTCTAGACCCACAGAATAACGCTCTAGAGCCGTAGAATTCCCCACCGTCCTACTCTCAAATCGGGCACCTGGATAATCTGCCAGCATGTCCTCTACAATCCTGTCTATTTCTGCAATAACGTCCATTTCTGAAATTATGTCATCACCGTCGTCCCAGTCTCCCAATGTTTCGACCACCATACTATCGATTTTTGCAACGGCCTGGTCACTCATTATCGAGGCTTGATCCAAGAACTTAAGCGCTGACTCTAAACACATTCTCTTTCGTGGTAAAACATCCTCTGCCCCATCATCGGTCTGTCCTGGGTAGCCAGTGATCGTAGACGAGACAGCAGTACGAGGCTTGACCACCCTGCGGCGAGCGGATCCCAAATCCACTTCAGGGCTCCTAACAGGCGGAAGCCCGGTAGTCCTGTTGCTAGCCGACGGTAGCGGTAGCCTGGTAGTTCCCGCGGGAACGGCTGATAACGAGCCGTCTTCTTGCGGGTTCGATGTGTGCACTATCGACGGTGACGATGAAGCAGTGACCTGCGCATCGAAGCTTCTCATACTCAGCAAAATAGTGACCAACCCGAACGGACTGGCGGACCTCCTGCAGAGCAATCGATGCTGCATTTTGATGTGAGAGACAGCAGCCCTTTGCCGGCCCGACACCCCTCTTTTTTTTGGCCCAACGAAGGCCACAACACTTCATGACTGTTCAGTACTCGAAACCCACAACGAAACAAAGACGAGTTGGCAACAGGTAAAAACTTTCTGATCAGGCTTGGTTGGCAGCAATGCTTTTAGTTGCCTGGGCTCACGTTTAACGAATGGTGTTGATCAAAAGCAGATGCAGCGATCAGCAGACATAGCGATCAGCAGACATAGCGATCAGCAGACGTAGCGATTTGGCCTCAGGGTACTGTGAAGATACCCGGGGAGGGAGCTACCCCCCGAAGGAGGTACCGGCCTGACCATCGCTTCAGCAGAGGATGGGAAGAAGACGCACCATGCTCCCGTGAAGTGGTATGGCGGCAGATGATCATATCTACTCGTGCTTGTGGTTGCACGGTCATCCAGCACCCGTATGGCTGTGAGCTGAAAAGCGTGGGGCTAATAATTTGCGGCAAAGCGCCAGTGCCGGGGGGGCTGACTGGATTTTAGCAGGCTTTATTCTGCCTCAAAGGGCCGGATATTTTTTAGGAAGAAGATGAAGTCGGTGCCATTGTCGGCGGCCAAGACGTCAAAGCTGACTGGGTCTTCGGCTGCGCTGCTGGCGTCGTTTATACCCGCTTACTCGGCGTACGGCAGCCCCGCTGGGTACGGTAGGCCCCCTGCGTACGGCATCCCGCCCCCTGCTTACGGTAGCCCGCCCCCTGCTTACGGTAGCCCGCCCCCTGCTTACGGTAGCCCGCCCCCTGCGTACGGTAGCCCCGCTGGATACCCGAGTGCGTCGTTGTACTCGGCAGCCCCATCATATGGAGGAGCCTCGCCGTATTCTCGACCTTATGCTCGGCCTGCTCCCGTGGCCACGGTTGGGCTGTCTGCTGGCGGGGGGTATGGTAGCTTTGGTGGTGGTAATACCTTTGGAGCAGGAGCGGGTCAAGGCAGTTTCATTTATGGTAGCAGTCCTTACGGACAGACCGGGTCCGGTAATAGCTTGTTCGGTTTCTACAGTTGGCTGAGCGGACTGTTGACCAAGAAGGCGACGTCCGCCGGATCTTCGGGTGGCGTGGATATAGTGGTGCCAGCAAACTTGAACGGCGTCCGTTGCGAGAACGGCGTGATCATAGCTGCGCCTTATAAGCGTCAACTTGATGATACGCTGCACCTGCACGACACGGACGACTACTGGAGGATCGAGCAGCGGTCGCAGCCGCGGAAATCTATCTTCAGCAGCAACAACGCTCGCCGCTCGGAGGAAGGTTCCTGGCAGAAAAAAAGCACCTTTGACGACGACGACTACTACCCTCGAAGACGGCCGATCGAAGACGACGTTGACGATGATCGCTCGCAACGGGTTAAGTCCGTCCGCTTTAAACACTAACTAAATACTGACGCTCAGGTGTTGACAGCCTGTGCTCAGGCGTTGACAGCTCAGGCGTTGACAGCCTGTGCTTTTTACACACACGCTACTATAAATGCACACGTTCTGGACGTTCTTCCGAACGCACATTTTGTTCGAGTCCAGCACGAATTGAATTTACAACTCTACGGGAGCGGCACACGCAGGGAGTAGAACGAGGCAGAACATATTTTTGGTATGACGGCAGCAGATTTTGGGCACATCCCCATAGAAGAATGGCAAAAGAAAAGAGATGAGTTGGAGAGAGCTGCCCGTAACGCGGAGCAGCCTGCTTCGGCGGAAGTCGGACAGCTGTACAGCAATATTGCTGGGGCGCTGGAGACTTGTGATCGGGAAGCCAAGCAGTTACTGCTCAAGATTGAGTGTCTACGGCCTCTGGCCCAGTCGATAATACTCAAACAGCCGTTGATGCCTTCTACTGTCAAAATACGGAAGCCCATCTCATATCGACCTCTTGGAAACGGGGACAGCCGCCTGCCCAGCGAAGTATGCCCCCTGTGACCCGAAATGCAGCACCCACCGAACACAGCACCAGGATGTATGTTTTAGATACTGATGTCATGTGCCGAAAGCATTGCTGTCGCGGTGGTGGATGAGTGTAGGACAGTTAGAGAGTTATATAGAGTGTTGCTGTTGAGGTTCTGCCGCAGATGTCCGGGAGATGACTCGTCCCTGATCGAAATGGTATGTCGCAGTGACGATGAATGGCTTGACGTCAATCGAGCGGCAGCCGCCCTCTATTTCCTGAGGTCCGTCGTAGCCGAGCTCGCACAGACTGATGTCAAAACCGCGTCCTATGCTTTTGCACTGGCTAGGCTTTTGTTAAATGAAGTCTCATTCAAAGACAGTCTGGAAAAGCATAAGGCCGTCCACCATGCTTGCAATAAGCTCAAAGACGCAACTAACAATGCAATAACGGACTACAGGACAGATATACTACAAGATCTAAGTAGGGTTGGCATTCTTGTACGAACTGTTCTCCCCTGCGTCCCTTCTTCCACCCTCTCCTCTGATACCGATACAGCTAAGGGTTCCTATCAAATTGTCTTACCGACTATCCACGTAAACCGAGGTTTGATCCAGCGGTCGATCTCCCTAATGTCTCAGGCCGCTAAAGATGAACAAGATTCGAACGCCGCCGCACCAGGTGGCTTCTCTATTAATCTGATCAAACAATCTGGAAACAGTATTCTCACCAGAGGAACGTCGAGTGAAGCAGTAGCTTCTCTGGTCGGCAAGCTAGCTGCTTGGGGACGGCGCACGCGTAAGTAGCGTGTCTTTCTTTTTTTTAAGTTAGCGCAGCACGCGTGTCCAGACGGACTCGCGCCGCGCGCGAGTCGGTCGGGTTAAAAAGAAGTGTGCGTAACACGGTAATTAGGTCCCGCGTAATTACGGTCCCGCGTAATTACGGTGGCGCGTTGTGGTCACAGGGGGTTGTATGATGCCGTTCGTATGATCCCGCTCAGCAAGCAGAGTGGGCCATTTTAGTTTCGAGTTTCTGAAGGTTTGCTGAGGAGACAAAGTGCTCGGATGTTCCGTCTTGCTGGTCAATGACGACGTACCTGATGATGCCTCCTGAGCCGTTGTCTCTCATCATGGCGTGGTTGACTAATAGGGTGACGAGCTTGATTGCCTCATCTTTGGACAGGTTTGATTTATAGAGTGAGTCGGCCAGCCCCGAGATGTAAGTGCCTCCTGACCCGCAGGTGATTATGTTTCTGGTAAACAGAGCGCCTCCCTGTCCGATGTTGTACAGCTGTGGTCCGTCTACGGGATCCACGCCTCCGATGAGAAGACTGCTGAGCAGCACGTCACGATTGTTGTAGCAAATGATCCTTGCGACGCTGGCGGCGCTTTTTACAGACGGGATAGCCAATGAACTTGTTCCACTACCACTCATTTCAACCTGATGTTGCTCCATCAGATTCTTCAGCAATCGCCCCACGTACATGGTATGACTCGCACGACCCGCCCTGCACACGTAAATGTTATCTGACACTCTGTTTATCTTCCGGGCATATGCACTGCTCACAACCGGAATACTTGAAGTCCGGGAGTCCGCAGCTAAAACCACACCACCATCATACTTCAAACCCACCAACGTAGTTCCCATAGACACCGGGACATCCTCAACTTCAGTCTTTTCACTGCTTGCATCAAACCCCACTGCCTTGAGACGTTCCGCTAACATTTTAAAAAGAAACAAATAACCGACTCTGCACGCGGCAACTGCTCATAACCCCGACAGCTGTCGACCCTGCCACCCGGATCGCCCCACCCGGATCGCCCGACCCTGCCAGGAGGATCGACCCTGCCAGGAGGATCGCCCGACCGACCCTGCCATAGATGGGCCGCAACCTCGACCATTTTTATGCGGTCGTTTTTAGTTTGCGTCCCATTAGCTTGCTATGACCGGATCGTAGTCGCATCAGCAACCACCACTGAGATTGCCATACCTACGGAATTCTCTACCGCACTTTCTGCATTGACGACCACACCTTCTGCCACGCCCCATGCAACACCTTCTCGTCGAACCCGCGAATCCATTGGCGTGTCCGACGTAGGAATTGGAGGTGGTCCTCCGTCCTCAGGCTTGTCATCCTCAGGCTTGTCATCCTCAGGCCCGTCATCCTTAGATGTGTGGAGGCGTCAGCTGGGTGAAGAGAGCAGGACCCGACGTCAGCTGTCTGATGGCCGTTCTAAAGCAATGTACTACGAGCTGGAGAATCGGATTCGAATAACGTCTATGCAGCCGTCCATTGGTTCCATTAATGGCGGGACGTTGGTAACAGTGTATGGTAGCGGGTTCAATACGAGCTGGCCGATGTATGCCCATGTGAATTTGATGGATGGTAAACGGACGGGGCACAAAGTGGTAGCAATGGAGACTTTGTCCGATGCGCAAGCACAGTTTTTGACCCCGTCGTACCAGGACCGCGGAGATGGCCGGCAGATGGACAATCGTCGAGTAGACCACTTGGTGAAGAATCCGGATAACATAGTCGCGTTGGTCACTTTCCGCTTCCGCTCCAGGAGTTCGTCATGGCATTGGAATTCGGAAATGTTTCGTTACTACATTGACCCGGAGCTTAAGTACATATTGCCTACGAATCAAGTGAACCATTTGCAGAGTACGGAACTGTTTGTGGTGGGAAAGTTCATCAGCCGGATTACAGAGCTGAGTAAACTAAAGTTTGTCAGTACCGTGGGCAACCACTCCGAAGTAATTGAGCCAAGGTACACCATTTACAGCTACTCGAAGGACGGCGAGGATAAAGGTTCAGACATAATAGATTTACCGGCACTAAAGTTCAAGACGCCGTTATGGCCGCACCCGGAGGACAAAGTATCGGTGCATTTTTCGGTGAACGGCCAAGACTGGCATTCTTATGATCATCTGACGGTTAATTTCACGGCGGACGAAGACAGTGTGTTGAACAACATTGTGCAGCATGTGCATTTAGAAAACTTGTTGGTAGCGGAGAGAGTTCCGTACGCGGGTCGGACGCATCAGAAGGTAGTACAACTATTGGACGATGACGGGGAGGCAGGAGATGACGGGGAGGAGGACGATTCGTCGGTGACGTTGGTGGACAGCCACAGTAACGAGTTGGTGTTCTCAAAGTTGTCATCGAACGAAAACTTCGACCTGTACTTTGTCAAGGATATTCTCCTCTGTGTCTGTCTGTCTTCTCTCCTGGGAGCTCTGGCAGAGTACTTGGGCGTACCACCAATGGCTGGCTTCATATTGGCCGGTTGTTTGTTGGTAGCATTAGGAACCAAGTCAAGTGTGTGGCGGCCGCGTCGTTTGGTACAGTTGTCTAGCTTGTCACGTCTTGCAGAGTTGGTGATAATGTTCGAGACCGGTATGAACATTGATATGGATCAAATCAGCCGTTCAGCGCACTTTGTTTGGCCGTTTGCCGTGAATTTGCCCGTGGGGGTATCTCTGATATCCGTGGTTGCCGCCGTGCTCAACAATACCAGTATCCGCGAAATGCTGGTACTCGCACTTGCATTCTCCTTTTCTTCACTACACGTCGCCTCTCTCACACCCCATAGCGAACCATTTCGCAGCGTCTGTGCCCTCCAGGAACTCGTCATACCCGTACTAGTCACCTTCATCAACAACGAACGAGAAAACTTCACCCTATACACCGCCCTTCTCACCACACTCTACCTCGCCGCAAACCACCAGGCTGCACGACTCGCTATCAAATACAACCCCTCCAACAACAATCTTCTCGGTATCTTCTACTTCTCCGCCTCTCTCTGCTACTGCTACTTCGCCACCATACCACTCACACTCGGCGCCCTCTTCTCTGGTATTGTCTGCAGGTCCTTCACCTCCTTCGACACCCTGCCACTCACCATCTTCTTCTACGTCTTTCTCGGCCTCTCCCTTAACCCAATACTCATCATGAACAACCTACTCCTCGTTGCTGGCCTCGCCACACTCGCACTACTCGTCAAGGCCTGCGCCCTCTTCTCCATTGTAACCACTCACTCTCACACCCCCTACGACCACCCCCTACGACCACCCCCCCACCACCCCCTACGACCACCATACCTGACCCGACCACCCCCTACGATACCATACCTACTTTGAAGGCAATTCTTCGCGGTCTATCGCATAAAGACGCTTTAAATGTGACTGTGATGTTGTGCAGTTTCTCTGAATTGAACCTGGTCGTGCTGCAGCAAGCCTGTTTTAAGGGCACTGTGAACCGGGCCGTCTCGCAACTAACCATGGGCGTGACCGTGATGTCTCTGTTGGTCGAGCCCGCGATAATGCGCCGCTTCTATACGAATCGCGAGGTCGTCGCTTGGAGCAAGACTAGACACTTGGTTCCAGAGATATAGTCGTCCAAGTCGTGCATTTCCATTTGATGCCTTTTTGCCAGTCACGGTGGTGCCTCCCCGCCAGTAACGGTGGAGCGGCTGGTCTGTTTTGGGTATTTACCAACCTTTGCGTTTGGCGGCCAAGGTTCGGAGCTGGCTGAGCTCTTCAGCAGGTGGCGGGTTGTCGATGGCAGGCAGGAGAGGCTGGGCTGGGGGGGGTAAGTCCTTCCTCGGCGGTAGGCCAAGGATCGACGTTGTGCAACGAGGTTGGATTCGGGGAAGCAACTGGGCAACTCAACGGTGGGAGGTCGTTCGTGTGCGGCGAACGTTTTTGTGAAGAATGCCCGCCGACCAACGGTACGTTGAAGCTGGTTGAGTTGGTTCTTGAGGGTCTTGCCGATTACTCGCATGCGCGCCGCAGGCTGGCACATGGCGTCTCGAACAAGCATCCGGCCGCTAACGCAGTCCGGCGTGCTACTACGTCCGAAAAGGAAGGGTGTGAAATAGCGAAAGGTGCGAGCACAATATACCGCAAGATGTTCAAGCTCCACCTCCGAACGCTTAAGCAGACAACCCGTAACCCAGATCGAGCGATCCACTTCACTCGCCTCTGCCCACTCCGAACATGGTGTCTCCTGTAGAAAACTTACAGCTCCTAGTGGGTTTGGGACGAAGTGATTTAGCAAGTGAGCTGCTTCCAAATAAGCGTAGCTGCAATGCTCCAAATCTGACCCCTCAATCTCTGCCATCTCTCGCCACTGTTCTCCACTCAAAAGGTCCTCCATCACGTCGTCGCCCGCGCTCCTATCAACCTTCACACGCTTGCCTCCTTCCGAACAGACGCGGTGCAAGGTCAAATCACCCAACGGAGGCCCCTTCCCTGCGAACGTAATTCGAGGCACATATACAACCTGCAACGGGCATGGCTCCCGTGCCACTCCTGTCGCCGCAGCGGTCTCCGTCTCTATGACGGCGTCCGTCTCCATGACGGCGTCCGTCTCCATGGCGGTGTCCGTCTCCATGACGGCGTCCGTCTCCGTGACGGTGTCCGTCTCCATAGCGATGCCCAGAGCTGCGTGTGCCGCCGCAATCCCGTTCAGGGAATGAGTCCCGACCGGGGAAAGCGTCCCAGTCGGGGAGGGAGTGCTGATCGGGGAGGGAGTCATGATCGGGAAAGACGTCCCGGTCGGAGAAGGCGAAGATGGCGCCGAGGTGGCACGGCTGCGCGGCAATTCTCTTTGAGAGAATTGTTCGAGAGTGATGACTGGAGCGCATTCGAGCCGCTTGACGATGTCATCGACGAGTTCGGCCCGGTTGCCGGCGGGGACGGCAACTAGTTCGCGGGGGGTCATCCAGGCGCTGCGTAGACAGCAGTAGGTACGTCGTTTTCGGACGAGCGAGGGCGTGACGTGGGTGAACGTGTTAACGCAGAACTCGACAAGTTGGCGGACCGAGGCGCCTGCGTGCTGCAGCAGGCAGCCGGTGAGCCAGGTGGAGCCCCCGGCGGCCGAGAAGCCGGTTATTCGTTCCACGGCAATCCGGACTACCTGTTCTACGCTCCCGAGCGGCAGCCGCAAGTGTACGCACATGGTGTACGCCAGCTCCAGGTAAGCCACGCTGCACTGTTTCAACTCACCAGTTGTGAACGAATCCAACCGCTGCCACTGCGTCTCACCCAACATACCCCGCATCCTCCGGTCCAGCATCAATTGCGTGTTCAGATTTTCTGGCAGCGTCCTTCTCCGCCCCGTTGACTCACGCAGCCCACAAACTGTGCGACGCTCCCAAGACTGAACTGGCCGGTAGATCGGGACGTTGGGCGCCACGCCCGATGCCATAGCTAAATCCACCACGTCCATAGGCGCCACGCCTTTAAGCCCCTTGGGTCCCATGAGGTCTGTGGACTCCAGTCCCGGTGAGACGTGGTCCATAGCGTTTACCGCCAGACTCATGCCTACCAGAAACCCATGGTGAATCCTCCCGGCCGTGTTTACCCGCATCCCTTCTTATTTCTGCCAGATTATATCTGTGTAATGCCGTCAATAGAACGCCGTGCCGTCAATAGAATGCCGCGCCCTTGATTGCAGCGCCACTGATTGCGCTGCCGTCTATGACAAAATGTCTACATGCCCTCCACCCCTGCTATGTGGGGATCAATGCCAACTCAGCAGTGCCACCCCCGGCCGCAGAAAAGCCTCCGGTGCTATGTCCGCGATTAGCCTAGAGTGGGTCGGAGATCTTTGGCGACATTGATAAGGCCCTTTAGGCCTTCGATGACGGTCTGTGCCCGTATGGAGTCGCGGTCTCCTTCGAAAACTTGTTTGTTCGTCCATACACGGGGGCCGTGTGCCCAGGCGAACCAGACGGTGCCAACGGGGCAGTCTTTGGTGCCGCCTGAGGGACCGGCTACGCCGGAAACGGCTAGTCCATAAGGCGATCCAGTTTTGGCTTGTGCGTTCTGAACCATGTGGGTAACCACCTCGGCCGTAACCGGTCCGGTATCTTGAAGCAATCCCCAAGGCACATCTAACAACTTGGTCTTTTGCTCCATACCATAGGTCACAAATGACGCACTGAACCACTGACCAGATGCTGGCACACTCGTTACCGTTGCCGCCAAGCAACCACCCGTCAACGATTCCGCCAAACACAGTTGAGCCTCCTGCGCCACCAACAACTCTCCCAACTCGCGCGCTAACTCCGTCGCACTTATCGCCATAATTTTACCCCAATGCGAAACACCGAAGAAATAACCGAAGGTTCACTGGAGCAGTGTGAACGATCAGTCCCCAAGACTTAAAAAGAGGAGCGATTGGAGTCTCGGAAGTAGCCGAGTGAATTTAGTCGGTGCAGGAGCAGTCTTTCGAGCTCCCAACGTTCTAGTCCATCCACGACTCCGCGGGGTTCGTGGAGCTGGGCACCCGACCACCAAGCAGCGACCTTGCCTTGAAAAGTATAGTTGGGTGCTATGAACTCATGTAAGTTTACTGCGTCTGGATCCACACGGCATCGCATGTTTGGTTTGCGTTTGGGAATGTCGAAGCCGACGGCGTTGATTCGTGTGTGACGTTCAGCGTCGGCCGTGTGCTCTTCAGCGTCGGCCGTGTGCTCTTCAGGCTGGACAGTGTTGGAGTAATGCCGTGATACGAGCCATTCACAGAACTGCTGGACGTCCCAAGGATCTTCGCAGCGCTCGCACTGATCCACGTCGCTGTGGCAGTGGCCGCCTTCACCGCAAGAGTAGCACCCAGCCGTGAGTGAGTGGACTGTGTTCCCAGTGGCCACCCATTGTTGGACAAGAAATGCAAGACCGAACACACTTAACGACGGCATCAATAGTTCGCGCGGAACCGAGTCCCACCAGCCGTTGTGGTGCACGTCGTACGACCACACCAAGAACCGTGGCGCGATCCGCAGCGACGCCTCCGCCACCACCGGACCAGTCACCTGAGTTGTTGGCAGTTGGAGGTAGGGAGCAAAGCCCTCGGGGTATGCGACGACGAAGGGGGTTCCGGAGGCACTAACCAGTTGAATGGGTACGTTGTCATGGCGCATTTTATGGAGGGCTTGCTCGAGGTCGTGAGCGACGCTCTGATTCAGGTGTGCGCGGCGCCGTTCTCGTCGAGCTTGTTGAAGCAGTTTGTTGGTGCCATGCCGGCCGAGACGACGGATTACGAGTTCATCAAGGCGCCAGCGCGAGATGCCAGGTTGCTGAGGCGTGACGCGTAGCCGTTGGCCGCGTTGAGACCACCAGCCACGCATGCGGGCGGCAAAGGCACCGATGGAGGGCCAGCTGCGAATAACTTCGTCGACCAGTGCGTCTTCAGTCGTTTCAACACGGATGCGGTAAGTCACCCTGCGTTCTACCATCGTCCCAAGCGCGTTTTGTTCTGAACGACGACGCCACGTAAGCCAGTGACGGAACTGGGACTCGTTCCACGTCAAGTGTCGACCCCAACCCGGCAACGGGTCGTAACAGGACGCCTCCAACGTCAAATTCGGCCGACCCGCCGCACGCCACTCCGCCGCTTTTTGAGCCAAACCAAACACTGATAAGCCACCACATTCAAATGGCGCCAAACGCTGTAACCCTTGACTCAATATGTCGTAAGCCCATATTAAACATGTAGCGTGTGATTCTACACCCTCCTCTTCCGGCTTCATCACCTCAACCCCCTGCCGCTCCGCCAAACCCGCAGGCACCGGATCCACACTCACACCCGGGTTGGCCAACTCCAACTCCATATCTGGGTTGGCCAACTCCAACTCCATATCTGGGTTGGCCAACTCCAACCGCATATCTGGGTTGGCCAACTCCAACTGCATATCTGGGTTGGGCAACGCTACACACACTCTCTTCGCCGCAGGGGTACCTGACGACCCCAGGTTGCGTTGGTCGGGACCGTCACCGCCCGCGACGACACTCCAGTGGCTAGCGGGGTCATCCAAGACCTCGCTCGAGCGCTTCTGACCACGGACTAGGTCGTGACCAGGGGAATCGGGGACCCAGCTCTGGAAAGCGCTCAGGTCCTGACGAGGGACCCAGCCCAAATTCATGGTCGACGAGGTCCCGGCTGGTTCCTGCCCGATACCGACAAACACCAGGCCAATAAACCGTGGCGGCTCGGACGAAGATCCACAGGTTCTCATCGTGGGATTTAAAATTCTGCCTGCACTGTGGCTCCGGCTCATGGTTCCGAGGGTTGTATCGAGAGAAGGCTGATTCGAGAGAGGGTTGGTTCGAGGGTGGGGTCAGTGTCAGTGATTAGCGTCGGTGGTGCTGAAAAAAGACGAGAGGAATGCCCTGCTGCCAGAGTCGGTACAGAATGATACGCTCGGATTCCCAGCGTTCGAAACCATCTTGAGCCGAATCTTGACCCTTGTTTCGTTTCCACCAGTCCTCGAAGGTTGATTGAAAGGGACTATCGGGACTGCCGAAATCGTACAGAGGGCAGTCGTAGGGCAGGACGGCGATCCTGCGCTCTGGGTCGGGTCGTGGGCAGTCGAAGCCGAGGGAATCGACAGTTTGCTGGTGGAGTGTTCTGGTGGTGTGTCTGGTGTGTTCCATGACGCGTGGTACGACATGTCTGGCGCGTAGCCAGAGCCAGAAGTCGTGGCGGTTCCAGATACTGCAACGTTCGCAGCGTTCGTGGTATTCGCGGTCTTCTCCGCAGTAGTAGGGGCCTGCTGAGAGGGTAAGTATTTTGCCGCCGCCGCGGGCCCAGTCGTGGGCCTTCCTCGCCAAGCCAAAGACTGACAATTTAGTGGCGGCCCAGATCGCCGGCAAGGAACCCCAGGCGCCGTGGTTGAGGACGTCATAGGCCCAGACCAGAAGAGGGGCGGAGATGCGCAGGCCTTTTTCCTGCGGAGTCGCGATCTCGAACTCGTGCCCTGAGATTCCGACCCACCGCTTGGGGATGCGTTTCTGAAGCTCGGCGGGGACGTGTTTCGGCGGGAAGTATTCTGCTGCCAGGCGAATTTTCCGAGTCCGTGAGTCGCGCATAATTGCCTCAGGCAGCTTCTCCACCGACACTTTCAGCCGCCCCAGTCGCTCCAAGACGAGTTCGTCGAACACCACAGAGGATACCCTTGGCTCGTCGCTTGCCGCTTGGAACCGGCCCCGCTCTCGCGTTCGCCACCACTTAGACATTTGGTGACAGAAGGAGTGTGACGGCTCTAGTTGCGACCAGTGCTGCACAGCGTCTTCAACAGCCTCCTCGAGCACGCACTCGCCCACTCGACGTGGCGTTGCTATTCCCTTCGGTCGCACATGGGGCGGCAAGTCTGCCCAGTTCAGAAACTCGGTCGTCGTCCATGGCTCCGGACTACGCCAAGAAAAACACCGGGCTGATAACGCAAAGTTAGGGCGCTTCGCTTTCTCCCACTGCTCCGCCTCCCGTGCCAACGCAAACACCGACTTCCCCTTTGTACTGAACGGAACCAACCACCACCATCCGTGCCGCAACATCGAGTACGACCAGAACAAATACTTCGGGTCCACCTTCCACGAACGCTCCTCCGGCGTAAACAATTTCAACGTAGGGACCTTCGCCTCCGGCCGCTTCCGCTCCAGCTCCCCTTCCACAGACACTACTGACGACACCACACGCCGCGGCTTGATCGCAGCCACCGCCTCCATTGTCTCAGTGATGTTGTGCCAACCTTCCGCCTTCGTGAAACCACCTCCAAAGCCGCCGGTCACCTGAGACTGCCGGCCTGTGGAAATCAAGGCACCCACGTTCAGAGAAGTGCCCCCAGGGTATGGAGGGGCTACGGCGGAAGGAACAGCTCCGGAGGACGGAGTGACTCCGGGGGACGCACTGGCTCCAAAAGACGGGACCGCTTCGGGAGAAGGATAAAGTGTGTCATCCGCATCAGGAGAAGTAGGAGGAGATGCAACTCCCGCGGCTACGTCTTCAGTGATGTCATCAGACCCAGCTACGATTTCCTCCGTCCCACACAGGAGGGTGTCGTCCACGAAGAAAACGGGGGATTCATACTGGGAATAATACGTAGTGCAGTCAACGTCGTCTTCCGTCGAGTTCATCGCCACCTCGTTACATGGCTCGACCAACAGGTCATGACTGGTAAGAGTCTCGCCGGAAAGAGGTTCGCCGTTAGGATCTGCTTTGACAAGAGCCTCGCAGCTACTCGTCTGGGCGCTAACGTCGTCTTCCGTCGAGTTCATTATGACCTCGTTACATGACTCGGCCAACAGGTCATGACTGGTGAGAGTCTCGGCGGCAGGACCTTCGCCGTTACGACCTTCGCCTCCTGCTGCAACGCTATCATCAGCTCCAAAACTTGCGATATTGGGACAGAGAACGAGAACCAAATTCTCATTAATGTTGCTGTCCGGCTCCTGGCATCGTCTCTTGGGGGGCGTGGGGCCGTCCTCGACGACTCTTGGCCCCTCAACGACGCCCGCGAGCACTGAACCCCAGCCGAGAAACCCATTTCTACGAGGTGGGCGACACCGCATGGTTTTTTTTCTGCCCTAATAAGAACCCCGACCTTGGCGTAGAGCCCCCATCTTGACGTAGACCGGCCTCCTAAGCAGCACCTCAGCAGCTTGGGTAGTGTTAGAGTCGAATGCCTAGACCTCCGCTAGACGTAGACCCCCCGCTGGGGCAGGCGCCGGTCCACTGGCCCAGTGCCTAGACCCCCGCTAGACGTAGACCCCTGCCGCTCCACGACCTTCAGCACACTACCCTCGCGCAAGGACTCACGCCTGTCTTGGCACACACCCGCATAGGACAGCGAAACGTAGGGCAATGAGATATATCCCCCCGCAAACAAGCGCGTGTGTGTCCCAAAAAACTCTCGGAAGGCTTCGGCTTCGTTCGGCGGCTACTATGTGTAGGGCCAGTTGTTCTGCTTCCGATGCCAGGACGGTGTCCTAGCACCGGAAGCACCCCCCCCCCCCACCCCGGTCATCATACAGTCCCGGTCATATGGTCAGTCGACTGCACTCACCTGACGCCAGCGGTTCCTCCGCAGTGGATGTCGTAAGGGGAGATCGATCATGCACGGAACGGTCGGAGGGCATTTGTGACCCGTGCGTTTGTGGGTGGTCGAGTGGGCCACTCGGTAGGGTGGGCCGGCCGGCCCCGTTCGGTCGAGTGGGCCGGCTCCGTTCAGCGACCACGTGCAGTGCGAGTCGCTCCGCTTCCCATTTTCGGACGCCGTGAGCTGCGCATTCCTGTAACCGCGATAGTTCTATCCACCAAGTAGTGAATCGGTCACTGAAAGACGTGCTGTCAGTTGACGGATTAACGAAGGGATAATCGAATTGAGAAATGCGGATTCTCGGTCCCTTGGCACCAGATGGCGCCTGGAAACCAAGATATTGGACCATACGGTTCCACTCAGGCAGGAGCTCTCCGTCGCCACTAGGAGGATGGCTAACATAATGTCTAAAGCGTAGCCACTTCGAAAACGCCTCACAGTCCCACAGGCCTTGGCACCTTTCGCACCGCCCACATTTTTGATTGTTAGTGAGGTCAAGGTTATTGAAGTCGTTTCCTTCTTCGCAATGATAGCAGCGAGCAGACAGAGTAGAGAGCATTTCGCCGCGTCTATTCCATTGACGAGCCCAGAGGGCCAAGCCGAAAACAGTCAAGCGCTTAGTGGCCTTGGAGGACAGTTCCCTTAATAGTGCCCGTGGCAAGGTGTGCAACCAGTCATGACTGAGTTGGTCGTAAGCCCAGACCAGGTACCACGGTTCGAGCCGAAGAAGCACCTCGTCCTCTGTTACAATTCGAAACTTGAAACCCGAAATCCCAGTCACGTACGTCGGTACCTCTACGACCGAGTCAGGATCTGGGCAAGGATCTGGGTAAGGAGCTTTTTGTTTTGCTTCTTCATGGATACTTCGTGCTGCCTTCTGCTCAGCAGCCAACTTCACAATTATACCATCCAGCTGCCAGTCCAGTATGTGGGGGGAGTCCGCGGTTGCCTCATGCCGGCATCCAACACGTTTCCACCAGACGTCAATTTGGTCGCCAAACGGCATGAACGGGGTCCACGACCGCAGAATATCCTCCACTGCCCTGCTCACCATGCCTACGTCAAGCTTTCGACTGCGGTATCGCGACAGGTCGTCCGACACCAGACTGCACCCCCCAACAGGTCCTGGAAGCGATGTTAGCAACCAACTCACGAAGTTGTCTACAGTCCAATGGTATGATGGGGCGCAGGTATAACAACGAGCTGTGATAGTGAGGATACGGTTGCCTGCCTCCTCGTACTCTGCTGCCTTCTTGGCCAGTCCGAAAACAGTCAGTCCAGTCACATCAAAGGGTGCCAAGCGTCGCCAACCGTTTCTAAGGATATCGAACGCCCATACCAAGTACCTGGGCCGAATCGCTAATTCTCTCTCAGCTGGCGCTGCAATTGCTGCCAAGGGTATGTCATGGCTGCTCCAGGCAGCTGGGGGAAAATGACCGCTGGGAACAGAACTGCTCGGACCAGGTGAAGAGCCGCTCGGAGCATGGCCGCCAGGCAGACTACTGATGACGAGTGGCTCGTTGGTCCCCCGCGCCTGACTACAACCACCTGCAGGCCCCGGAAGCGCCGAGTCCAACCAGAACATGAACTCTCGCACGCTCCAACTCCACGATGCCGGACAGTCATAACAACGAGCGGTGGTAGTGAGGATACGTTTGCCTGCCACCTCGTACTCTGCTGCCTTCTTGGCCAGTCCAAAAACAGTCAGTCCAGTCACATCAAAGGGTGCCAAGCGTCGCCAACCGTTTCTAAGGATATCGAACGCCCATACCAAGTACCTGGGTGGAATAACCAACTGAGTCTCATCTTTGGTTGCAATTGTTATTGTGGGGGTGCCACATGTCGCCAGTGTGTTGACGGCTTTAGCGAACCTCGGCTGACCACGATTCTGGGAGGCAGGAATGCTCACAAGAGAAGCGTTGCAACCAGGGCCACCGAATTCTCGACCACTGAAGGAAGGACCGTTAGGATTAATGGGAATCGGATCGCTGAGCATACTCCCATGGAGGTGGGCAGTTCTTAAGCCGTCAGGGTCGGGAAAGGATGTAATGGATTGTCGGGGCACATTGTACGTATGCTGAGTAGCACCGTTCGTCAGTAGTCTTGACGGAGGTTCACAAACGCCGTTCTTCGAATTCTCTTCAGAGCACGGCACATTATCGCTTCGCATCCTCCTTGAATCCGAAATATTACTCCACAGTTCTCCTGCACCCCCGCTGACCATGATGGTTCCCAGCGGTGTAAAGTAACTACACCCTGATGAGGAACAACGCATTATTAATTTCAGCTCTGAATATTCTCAGACAATGCTCTCCAAGTCCGTGTTAGGACCGCAAGCGTCTCTTGTAGGGTCTCTTATTGGAAGGGGGGTCACATTTTGTAGTTAGCTGGGGAATGTCTGCCTAGATGACCGTATGATCGCGGTGTAGACCAGGAGCGAAGTTCTGTACGTAAGTTGCTTGGCTTCGGGGAATATGGGCGTTAACGGGGGCTTCGTGGGCTTGTACCAAGAATCCGTGCTCGACTCCACCAGCATATCCGCAAGACACATCCACAGCTGGCGACCAGCCGATAAAAAGGTGTGCACACACTTTTTAAAGAGGGAACTAATCCTTGGTGGCGCATCACATTGTGGCGACGCACCCCTTGGTGGCCACGATGCCACAAGAAAACCAGAAGAGAATGACAGCACTAACTATTACATCTGCTGCTAGCAGAACATCGAGTAACACTAACATTCTCTCGGAAACAATGACATATCACTATCGTCATTACCGGAGATCGAATTGGAGACAGATGAATGCTTAGCAGACGCCTTATTCAAAGGCAGCACCACGCCCGACATACTCCTGAAGAAACTGGTCAGTCTCTATGGCATCCCCCAAGGTTACCCCGAGGAGCCGTTCTTGAAGCTAATGCTGTATAGTTATTGCGTCAGATATTGATGTCGTATCGACGAAGTTGATAAATTCATCCATTGACGTCCGTGTTCAGGACGTATTTGGTGCAGGAAGGCCACGTCGAATTCCTTGAGCATCTCTCCACTGCGCGTCGCAGCGCCGCCACCGTCGGCTTCCACGCCGTCCTCGTCCCAGAGCGCCGCCTTGACTACCAAGGCGCCGTGTTCGTTCAGGAATTCACGACATGCCGCACACGTGTGTGCATCTGGCGCTCCACCTCGTTCGGAAACGAGAGCAGATAAACCCCTCCTTGTAGCCGTATTGCTAGACCCCAAGCGCCGCCTTTGCTTAGCCCGTCACCCCAACGCAAAATACATGTGCTGGTGATATCTGGAAAAGGTGAAGGGTGGCATGCTATGGAATATGCTGTGTGAGAATGTGTGCGCATATACTTTAAGAGGGAACTAATCTTTGATGGCGGATCACATCACACTACACTTTTCCCAGCGGCGAAAGAAGAAGCCCCCAACTTCGTGATAAGTCAAGTGTGAGAGCAGGTGATGCGCTGTTAATGTCTCTAAAAAGTGTGCGCACACACACGTGCAAGACTGGTATAGAGATTCCACATCACGCCCCAGGCCTCCCAACTTCTTTATTGCAGAGAATAACAGTTGACGGGACTCGAACCCGTAGCCTTTGCCTCCGGAGGGCAACACGCTATCCATTGCGCCACAACCGCGCACGGAAAAGAGCTTGTGAAAATAGCTTCCACAGCACGGCCATGTGTGTCATGCAGAATTGCGGGATCAGTAACACGCGTGTTGTGGTTGCAAAAGTCTACATTGTCGCCACCACTCGCACGCACGGACAGCTCAATGGGCTTCGAAGCTTCAGCGAAACGGGAAGACCTCCAACGAAAGCGGGTTCGCCTGTCCCAGTTGGGCCGGACGGGACATAGAGAGGCAGGCCTTGCAGGGAGGCCCGAAACAGACTTGCTGCCGAATGGCTTAATGCTTTCAGGGGTTCGGTTGCGTCAACCGCCGGGACAACTCGCTTTCTTTCTCCCTTCGCAAGGGGCGCTGTTCGAGACAAGCACGCAGGAGAGTATACGTGAGGGGACAACCTGGCCTGTTTAAAAATGTTGGGCTCCATCTTCATGTGGGCGGCCCTTTTCCAGCTCTTTTAAAGTCCACACACCAGCCACCAGCGAAAACAGATGAAGAAGGGTCGAAAAGAAAAGCCAGCCTGGGAGAGTTTCGTGTGGCAGCCGGAGACAGAACGGAGTGCTATTTGGGGCTTGTGGTTTTTTTTACAAGGCGAAAAAGTTTTTAAGAAGATGTCTGATAAGTCTTACGCAGTAGGCATTGATTTGGGTACGACCTACTCCTGTGTGGCCGTGGTGCGACCTGAGGGTGTCGAAATTATTGCAAACGATCAGGGTAACAGAACTACCCCTTCTTACGTGGCCTTTACTGACTCGGAGCGTTTGATTGGTGACGCGGCGAAGAACCAAGTGGCGAAGAACCCGGCGAACACTGTGTTTGACGCTAAGCGTTTGATTGGTCGGAAGTTCCAAGATGATGCTGTACAGTCTGACATGAAGCACTGGCCTTTCAAGGTGAAGCCTGACCCTACTGGCAAGCCTGTGATTGAGGTGCAGTATCAGGGAGCGACGAAGACGTTCCACGCCGAGGAGATTTCGGCCATGGTGTTGATTAAGATGAAGGAGACCGCTGAGGCTTACCTCGGAACGAAGGTGACGCAGGCTGTCATTACCGTCCCTGCGTACTTCAACGATTCTCAGCGCCAGGCAACCAAGGATGCCGGCGCCATTGCTGGTCTCCAGGTGCTCCGCATCATCAACGAGCCGACTGCTGCAGCTATCGCATACGGCTTGGACAAGAAGGCCGACGCGGGCGAGAAGAATGTGCTCATCTTCGACCTCGGTGGCGGCACCTTCGATGTCTCTCTCCTCACCATTGAGGAAGGCATCTTCGAAGTCAAGGCCACGGCTGGTGACACGCACTTGGGCGGTGAGGATTTCGACAACCGCCTTGTCGAGTACTGTTGCCAGGACTTCAAGCGCAGACACAAGAGCGACCTGAACAGCTCCGCCCGTGCACTGCGACGCCTCCGTACCGCCTGCGAGCGCGCCAAGAGAACTCTCAGTTCCGCCACCCAGGCCTCCATTGAAATCGATTCGCTCTTCGAGGGTATCGACTACTCAACAAACGTCACCCGTGCTCGGTTCGAAGACCTGAACATGGACTACTTCAAGAAGTGCATGGAACCCGTCGACAAGGTCCTTCAGGACGCCAAGTGCGACAAACGCTCGGTGCACGAAATTGTCTTGGTTGGTGGTTCCACCCGAATCCCCAAGGTCCAGCAAATCATTACCGAGTACTTCGGCGGCAAGGAGCCCTGCCGCTCCATCAACCCCGACGAGGCTGTGGCTTACGGTGCCGCTGTGCAGGCTGGTATCCTTACTGACTCGACTAACGAGAAGATCCAGGACATCCTTCTGCTGGATGTCACGCCTTTGTCGCTCGGTCTGGAAACGGCCGGCGGTGTGTTCACACGTCTCATTGACAGGAACACTACCATCCCGACCAAGAAGACGCAAACCTTCACCACCTATGCCGACAACCAGCCCGGTGTCCTAATCCAGGTCTTTGAAGGCGAACGCCAGCTCACTGTGCACAACAACCTCCTGGGCAAGTTCCACCTCGATGGCATCCCCCCCGCTCCCCGCGGCGTGCCTCAAATCGAAGTCACTTTCGATGTGGACGCCAACGGCATCCTGAACGTGTCCGCCGTCGAAAAGGCCACGGGCAAGAGCAACAAGATCACCATCACCAACGAGAAGGGCAGACTTTCTCAGTCCGACATCGACAAAATGGTCCAGGAAGCCGAGAAGTTCAAGGCTGAGGATGAGCTCCAGAAGAAGCGCATCGACGCTAAGAACGGTCTCGAGAACTACTGCTACACCATGCGCAACACCATGCAGGACGAGAACATCAAGTCCAAAATCGACGAAGCCGACCGCAATACCGTCGACACCAAGCTCAACGAAATCATCCAGTGGCTCGACCACAACCAGGACGCTAACACCGTTGACTTCGAAAACAAACAGAAGGAAATCGAAGCCGTCTGCAACCCCGTCATGATGAAGGCCTACGGTGGCGCCGGTGGCATGCCCGACATGTCTGGTATGCCCGGCGGCCCTGGCGGCCCCGGCGGCCCTGGCGCCGCCCCCGGCGGACCCACTGTCGAGGAGGTTGACTAAGCACTCACAGATTTTGACTACAACACAATTTTAAACTCAGTTACAAAAAATAACTTGGAGCACGAACATGGGAAACTGGTGAGGATAGGATGGGATTGGGAAATTGACCCAGGGAATTTAAACTGACCGGGCGCAGCTAAATATGCACAACAACCTGCGTATGTTCCATCTCGATGGCATCCCCCCCGCTCCTCGCGGCGTGCCCCAAATCGAAGTCACTTTCGATGTGGACGCCAACGG